GTGTACCCACTAATCACTTTAACCAGAGCTCAGCGCTCAGGCGTCCCCGCGCGAATTCCTCTCCTCCTCTCCCTCATTTTCTCCTCGCAAAGCAGGTCGACGATTTGATGGCTTGGATGGATGCATGCGGTTGAACCCTTTGAATGGGTGGTAAGTAACGCCACCAAGAGAGTATTTTCTTCTTTTTTTTAACGTTGTAAACCGTTTGCGTTCATTTTGTCAGATATATCTCTAAATCAAACGATGAAAGGCAACGAATCGCAGATGGCACTGACTCTGAACAATCTGGTGTTCCCAGGGAATAAACGTCCTGGTGCAGGAAGTAACAACGTCATGAAAAGAAACGCTTTTTGTTCAAAAATGAAGAGACCTCTTTCACGCATGCAGGTCAAAAAGTTTGCAGCGTGGGAACGTTGTGCCCCACAGATCATCACGTATTCACACTGTCTCTCTTCGCCGTACCACTTCTCTTTTTTTTATTATAGCGTCACCTTCTTTTTTTTTTAATGTTTCTTTGCTTGACGTTTGTGAGTTTTTGCCTTAGAAAATCGGTACAAGCTTTGTTGCGACGGCGCGGTGTCAATATATCTAGGCATATGATAACTGTGACTACGTTAGTATTTTCTTTTTTTCTCTCTGCAGCGGGGTGGAAAAACACTTTAACAAGTCTGGAGCGTTTACCTCCCTGCAAGAGCTTGGGAGAGAAAATCACTGCTTTCGGAGAATAGGACTGGGTTAAATGTACGTTTAAACCTCAAAAAGAAAAAAAAAAAAAAGCACTTTGCTTTGCGACACCGAGCGTGATGCTTCACAATACTCAATTTCACAGCGCAAACAGTTTTTTTTAAACAAAAATCTAGACATATTTTTTGAACTCGTCATTCGCCAGGTTTCCAGGTTCCACCATTTCTTTGTGTGAAAGTGGACGCCCTAGGTTCGCGTTCACACTGCCTGTACATCGTACAAAAGACACTCTGCCCACACTGTCTGAGGAGTGCTTCTTCTTTGTACAGGGTGTCACAAAAGAAAATTTACGCAGTCTTTTTTATGGCAAAAATAAACTGAGCATCGCCGAACACTCACTCTCCGCCCAAAAGTAGCGCTAGAGGTCACGACCAGATGCCAAAGTTTCATCCCGATCCAATAACTTAATCAAAAGTTATGTGATTTTCTGAAAATTTCAATAGGAAAATGGAGCCCATTTTTGCCCGTTTCGGTTTCTGGCACCATAGAGCACCACCTGTTTGAAAACTCCATCGGCAGCCATTTTCCCATTGAAATATTCAGAAAATCACTTATAACTTGTGATTAAGTTATCGGATCAGGCTGAAACTTTGGCATCTGGTTGTGACGTCTAGCGCTACCTTTGGGCGGAGAATGAGCGTTCGGCGATGCCTAGTTTAGTTTTGCGGTATAAAAGACCGTGTAAATTTTCTTTTGTGACACCCTGTATATACGACGGTCCTCTTACATTGATGGTGCAAAGAACTGTTTGCCGACATGTTCGAACGTACCACATACTTATGAAGCACCCAAGCTTAGCGACACCGTGTCTTTTGTCTGGTGTATAAGCGGCGTGAGTGAGGCTTGAGGGCTGAGCTCCCTGGAACGAAAAAACAGACGAATTTCGCCCGGAGGCGTTTGCTCTGCGCGCGGCGTCCGAAGAGGGATATATCAACAGTAGGTTGGCCCAGGTAGTCTTCGCACGTATCTCGTTTCTAAGAAAGATGTTGTGACCTTGATGTCGGACCTAAAGCTTACTCCGAAACCGGCAGAGCACCGTGGGCTTTCTTTCTTTCCGGGGTTGTTTCTTGGGACGAGACCGCGCTGTGGTGGACGTGTTGGCCACAGCCGGAGGTCATAGCTGACTGAAATCTCCGCCGTTTCTGGTGTGCACGCCATTGGTCCCTGCAATAGACCTTTCGCTAAATCACTTAAGCACCAAGGAGCATGCTGCGAGCGTAGTTACACGCGCTGCACGTGCTGGCACCTGCAGCAGTGTAATTGTCCTAAAGCAAAAGCCTAACACAAATGGCACCTTGCACGCGCGTTCGTCGACACCTTATTTCGGTTATTAATTTCAATTCTTTTATACGGGGAAGCATACGGTGCGTAGAGCTACATTCAAAGAATTCTCCCTAATGATTGTGTAATTAAGAAATAGGTCTATTCATTAATTCAACTTTTACAACACTTATGCACTAGTCCCACTAAAGCGACAAACAGAGACAACCGACACCGACAAACCGCAAGCAGATTCAGCAAGTACGGCAAGGTATCTTTGGCAGGTTTCTAATTATTCGCGCTTACTAAAGTCCCTGGATCCCGGGAAAGTAGCGCCATTGCCTTCCTTACCTGCAAGCAAAACACAAACAGAACATACAGACGACCAAAACCTCGCAACGCGATTGGCTGATCGGTCTTTGTTGCCATGGCAATTGCCCTTTGGATCATTTTGAATCTTCGAATCTTCAAAGGGAACGTTCTGAACCAGCCGCGATAAGATCGCTCTGGAGCGCCATCGTATTGAAAGAATTCAGTGCAAGTATAACCGTCTTTGGCTTTGTGTATCAAATCAACTTATCAATCATGCTTATCTCCACAGATCTTTTATGATTTCTCATGCTTATACTCACAGATCGCTTACGCCCTCGAAAAAGGTGCCTTCATGGATACGACAAAAGATTTAATGGGATTGTTCTTATTGCATATTTCAAAAGACAAAAACTTTTTTTTTTTTTTTCATGTTTTGACGAATGATGCGTTGGCGGTTCGAAGATGTGCGCTTCTGTCGCATGCGTGTGAATAACAACATGTTGATATAAAAGAAAGGTGGTTATGATGCTGCCTGTCAAGCCATTTTGATTGGTTCACGAAAAGTGAAATGATCAACGAGAAACTGCATATTCAATAGACCACACTCTAAAAAAAGTCTGTGCGTCTATTTTCACGCACACCACTCGGAGAGCCAATCACCGCAACTTACGGAGGCAGATCAACGAATGACGATGCCGAAACACATGATAAGACAAAAAAAAACGCAGTCTGAGTTGTGACATTAAGCAATGCAAGCGTGACGTTTTGCATTGCTTAATGTCACAACTCAGACTGCGCTTTTTGATTTAAACATATGTTTCCGCATCGTCATTCGCTGAGCTGGCTCCGTAAGTTGCGATGATTGGCTCTGCGAGTGTTGTGCGTGAAAGTAGACGCAAAAACTTTTTTTAGAGTTCAAAATGGCGACCACTTTGGTTTCCCAGGATCCAATAACTTTAGTAGTTACTTCAAGAGCACACGTGAAACTGCAGGCTTCTGGAGGCGACACGACGCAACCGGAGGTGAAGCCGGGGGAGACGTGCGTTTTGGGGTGAACACAACTCTAAACGACGACCAGAAACGAACAAAACTAAAAGACGCTATTGGACGGGAAGGGCCGCTGATTTGGCACCAACAGCGGTTTTGGTGATCCTTGGGAGCGTTCCAACAAACAACGACCTTTACTTCCGGCTTCATTTGGTATTTTCTCGTTTTGCTGGCTTGAGCTGGTAAGTCGCCTCCTCTTGTTCCTACCTTTATGCATATCGGTGTCGGAATTGTTTGTCTGTCACTCTACTGGGACTAGGGCATTACAACCATGGCACTCTCCACCATGTACTACAGACTATACAACGCTTAACGTGCCAAAGATCGGCGGCTGAGCAGGTGGGCCTTGTGAATGGGGCCAGCTGAACATGAAAAACACACAGAGAAAAAATATAACATTCGCACCGCTGGACTAGAGACATTTAATTAACATTAACATTGAGGTGGCCCTGTTTGACACTCAAGTGCGTGTGCTATCGCTCAAATTATACGCTCGATAAAGTCGCGCAGTCGCGCTTACACAGTCTGTGTAACAGTTAATCACCAAGTTCGAATTGTTTTTTCTTTTTGGTTATTTCGATGGGGAAGGACAACGGTTGACTCAAGTCTGGATACGAGTAATTTGTATGCATAAAAAAACTATATATAACATAAAGAGCAGCAAGGAGCCAGTCAAAACAAGATAAAAAAAAAAAGGTCTTCTGCTGACTTGTTGCCAGACCTCAAGCGCGTCGTTTAGTGTTGTTCGTTGGTACATCAACGCTAGTTTGTCCGAGCGCATGCGATTTCACCGCTACGCAAATGCAAAGTGACGTACACTTGGTCACACTGTTAGCGCGAACACTACAGCGGTGCTTTTCGCATGTTATTTCGACGAGACATTGGCGGGCATCAAATTCTACCGCTTCTTTAATTGCCCCAAACATTATCGCTTTCCATCATACCAGTATGTTTTGATATCATCATTTTGATATTTAAAAAGAAAATGAATATCGTTAATTTTTTTTTTTATCATTGGCGCGTTTTAATCATATAGGTGCTATATGTCCGAATCAGACCGAATGCACAATGTCGGCTTGCAATATATATGCAAGCCGACATTTTGCCGCTAGAGAGCAGGCAGACGCGACGCCCGACCTAGAAGCAATCAAATATGCGACGTCCGGCCGATACCTGGGCGACAGTCCGATCTGTACAGTACTCACACGACGTCACGCCGATACTGGGCCGGTGGCAAAATAACGGCACGCCAATACCAGCCGGATAAGGGGTCGTGGCGAAAAACTCAACATTAGGTAGATGTTAGGACCAATTTCCGACCGACCCTGACACGGCACTGTATCGCCGTGCTGTTTGGGATACATTCCACGACAGCAGAAAACACCAAAGAGAACGTTTCGTTGCGGCATGTCCTTTTCCTTCTGAGGTATCTGCGAGTTTTCCATGTGAATTTCTGTATCAAGCATTAATCGTGGCACTTCAGCCCCAATTCGCCTGCACCCATGTCCATTTTATCGCTCAGATATATCAGATATGGCACGCAGGCGCTTTATAAGATGACCCCAGGACGTCAACTGCTGAAAGGCGCCCTGATTAACGAAATTAGGAAAAAGTCTTCGTTCATAACCAAATTCCTCTCAAACTTTTGGACCGTGTGCTCGAAAGTTACCCGTATGTGCCGGAGTGCTTGTTCCGTTAACCCGTCCCTTCGGTGCTGAGACGTGCGCCGTGCCCAGGGTGCCGTTCTTGCCGTTGGTGTGACCGACGGACACGGTTCCGATGTCTCGACCGGAAGCCAGGGCCCCTCGTCCCCCCGATGGCTTCCTGAAGACTCGCGTCTTGAGCAGCATGCTTCCAAGACGAGTGAATGGCATCTCCACGGTCACGTAGAACACGGCCGAGATGAGCAGCGTCGTTAGGAAGTGGCCGCAGAAGGCGTACACCTGCCGTGACAGACAGCAGGCCATAATTGGTAAGAACCCGCTCACGCACTAGCGTTTGCTTAGGACCGAGCTCTTGCGATCTGTTACGACGAAAGAACACACTGGCACGCAGGCGCCATATAAGATGACCCAAAAACTGCATTTAACTATAATCAAAAATTTTGCAGTGTTGGCGAATTTAAATGTGCGTACTATCTACGAGAAATGGCCGTTTATAATATTGTCAAATAGTGTTTCGCGCAAAAATAAAAACGATGCGCGAAAAAAGAACACGTAAATATCCGGTAACTGCAAGTGTTCCACGGCTAGCAACTAATGGCGCGAGTGTGTTTTCTGGTGGTAAAAGATCTTAGGAGATTTTAAGGCACACTGTTTGTAAGCAGTCGAAAGTGTGTGAACTAGCAATAACGCCCTGTCCACACAAAGCCTTCCATTCGACATCCGAAATCCACCAAACCTGACGGACGGGCATGGCGCTGAGCAGTCGTCTGCCGTCTGCCATCCACCTGCAACCTTTCTGTGGTAGACGAACCATTTATGTCGTCTCTCATCTGCCATTGGTGGATGGCTGTCGACCCATGGCAGCCATATGAAGAAAACGTCTGTACTGTCCTTTTAGAGCGCAGCTCTTAGGCGCCCGTTTCCGGCTTGAGCGGCGTCGGCGTAACCGCACGGTGCACTATGGGACGCGTGACGTCACTGATGACGTCATCAGTGGCGTCATCGGCATTGATATTGTCATCGTCACTGATGACGTCATCAGTGAGGTCACTGATGACGTCATCTGCATCGTCGTCGTCACTGATGACGTCATTAGTGATGTCACTGATGACGTTATCGGCATTCGAATCGTCATCGTCATCGTCACTGATGACTTTAGTGATGACGTTACCAGTGATGAGACGTCACCAGTGACGGCACTGGTGACGTCATTGTCATCGTCATGTGACCTCATAGGGGTCACGTGACCCCGGTGACGTCACATGACGCCCGTAAGGTCACGTGACCCGCCTTGACGTCACACGACCCCCCCCCCCCAAGTTCACGTGACCTCAAGGAGTCACCTATCCCTCAGTACGCTTCCATCCTCCTCCTCAGGAGCTGCGCTCTAATCCGGCGTTACAGGGAATTGTAAACGGATTTCATTTTTTTACGTGTCTTTTTTTTCCCCTTCCCTGTCTCGGGTTCAGTCATGTCAAGTATTAAGAAGTCCGCCTGCGCACACTCTTTTTTCTGATTAGGAAGTTTCTCTTCTGCTTGTGAGGCCTTCATTTTGTTTGCTTGCGAAGCATTTTGAGCTGAACTACCAGTCTCCGTTCAGCTGTTGAGCTCTCGAGGGTGCTACCCACTGCGACAGATCCCTTCTTCATCTATTCCTCTCTTCCTTCGAAACACCACTGTGTATCCTGAAAAATACTTCTTTCGAAAATGGGACCGAGGCTTTTCACTTAAAATTATCTAAAACTTTTAATATTTTTGTGCACTCCCAAAATCGGCGCCAGAGTATTCTGGTGACCAAAAGTCCGAGACTAAATGACTATTGTATTTATATAAACAGCTCATAACGTAAATCTTTATTCTCTAGTAGAGGGCGTCGGCCTCGCAGCTGCAGAAATCTTCACTTTGACATTTTTAACTTGAACAAATATATGTTCTCTCTTGGTTCAAGTTAAAAAAAGTATGTCGGGAAATTACAGCATGGTACCAAAAATGAACAAGAACACTTTCGCAAGGAGCAGCTGCGCATTCATCCCCCCCCCCCCCCCACCAAAAAAATAAATAATAAAAACAAATAAAAGTAATATAAAACGTACGCTACTATATAATATGCATTCAAGCTCAAAGCATGCAGAGAGCACTGGTACAATACGTTCCACACGCGGGTTGCCTGAGCACCGGAAGGACAGGTGGATCTGTCGCCATGGGTACAGTGTTTGTATAACGCGTCTCTGAGAGGTGCGTTCACCGCGTCTGTATCCCGTGCTGTTGGTTTCCAGATTAACGACGTCACAGCCGTGTAAAACAGCGGTCACACTGCCAACGCAACATGCAAACGACAAGCATAGATGTGTATATACATCGAATAGGCTTGAGGAGTGTCCACAGGTAATTTGGGCGCAGTATCTGCAACGAACACCATGTATTTTGTATGGAGCAGAGGGATCGCTGCTTACTGCTCGCTGTGATTGACGTGTTCGGCGGACACTGTGCCCTATGCGGCGCGCACCTTCTCGTACTGGCTGTAGTAGATGAGGTCCCTCGTCCTGCTGGAGTGGTACAGGATGACCAGAGGGTGAATCAGGTAAGCCATGTACGCCAGGTTGCCCAGAGCATTGAAGGGTTTCCACGATAGCAGAGCCTCGAGGAAGCCTGCATGCAGTATCCAGGGTCGAATTTCACTTCATTTACAACACATGGGAACAGTGAGCCACCTTAGTGTTGAAACCAATGGAGAGTTTTAGAATAGGCCGCCATTCTGCCCCGAGCATCTTGGGGCGTGGCACTGCGCAAGCGCAGAACTCCCATGAGCTCTGTTACGCCCCAAGCTGCACGGGGCAACCAAAGCCTCGGGGCCCGATATTCTACTAGAACTATCTAATGTGGTGCGCAAGTACGAGCGACGTGGACGTAAAAATAGATGTGGTAGGTCCGTAGTTGCACGTGCTTGCTCATACGAGTAGCGACATAGCGGGCGATGGCAATGTCAATGGCATGGAGACAATGTCAGGTATGTACATTTGGCAAATGAGCAAATGTATACATGAACAAAATCAGACCTCTCAAGCACAGCTGCGAGTTTATTAGAGGACCGGTTTTAAAGGAGTAAGCTTAAATTCACGGGCATAAATAACTCTAATGTTTCAGATGTAATTACCGATTCTTGAGGCAAATAAATATGCCAATAATTGACTGGAGTGGCCCTTTACCGCAACTCTAAAAGAAGAGTCCTACTAAGACACCGAGCGTGACATCCCCCCACATACACTAACATCTCGCTTCACACGCGTACTATTACAATATCTCATCTAAGAAACATATTCGAACGTTATCATTGAACATGCTAACTGACTCTGTGTCGCAATAATCGACGGCTGATGTTCCAAGAACGGTAGAAAAGTATCTCTAGACTGCCGCGACGTCACTTCCCATGTCGGGCTAAACTGTTCTGACAGTTCCAAAGCGTCCTCCTGCGTCGAATTGATACCGCAGGGCACCTCATGGCTCAAACGCAGTAACGGACGACTACCGAGTAAATGTAAAACTACTGATACAGCTATCTCGATGACTCAAGATTAACGTAAAGGAAGCACACATAGGTACCATCGATCTTTATCCTATTACCAAGGTTATAATATGCGCATTTTAAGCTCAAATTCGTCGTATGGCGGGAAGATAGCCCGTATTAAAATGACATCCGTTGAATCCGCTGGTAGAGAGGGGGTGTCTAACCTAGGATCTTTAGCGTGAATCACGCAGTATAGGGAGTACACGACCGCGTGCAAAGGCTACAGTGCTCTCAATTATCGCAACCAGCACTGGCTCTTTGTATACCTGAAAAACGCGTGGAGTAGCCGGTTCTAGATCCACTTCACTGAGCAAAGAATTGTCATTAGCCGCAGTCACATCGTATACAAAAGACACTTCGTTCGCTGCAGACATTATCAGGAGCCTGCTTCACACGTGCTTTGAACATGCCTGCAGGCCATCTTTTGTACGATGTACTAGAAGTGTGACCGCGGCCATATGGCAACTCGCCGCTTCCAAATAAGCCCCCGCGAGGTGCGGACAAACACGCAGTTACCAGGCGAGGTGTGGGCACTGCGCATGCGCACGAACCAGATTCGCGTCAAGTGATGCGTCTGCACACGCACCCTGCAGAGCCACTTCAGCGGCGTGACTTTGGAGCCGCGTGTTGGTGAATAGGATTTTCTTTTTCTTCTTAACGATCGAAGAAGCAAGGATAATAATGGTCGACTCACAAGCGCTCCGTTTGCTTACGTTATACGTTGCTTCGAAAGCGACACTCGAGGCACGAATGTTCCGGTGTCTTATAACGTACAACGTATGGGGAAGCGTAAGCAAACGCTCCTGGGTGAACGGGCCTTCTTGTGAACAAATGGCGCTCGCACCTCCGTGGCCCGTGACGCAGGCGAACGTGAGCCAGCTGAGGGCGACGCACCAGGCGACGCGGTGGGTGGCCGCGTACAGCGCCGCCACGGGAGGAGGCGGCAGGTCTGAGTTCCAGCGGTACGCCGCCCACAGTACGGCCACGCCTACGGCGAACGAGCTGCACCAGCCCGTGACCTGTGTGAGCTGGGAGATGAAACACACAAGGAGTAAAGAACTTGTAGTCCTCATTAAGAAAATCACAGACAGCTAAGATAACAAATGGCGCGGCGATATAGACGCTTTGCAGCAGCTGTGCATGGGCGCCGCCATAACTGAACTTCAGTTTTTGTTTCCTCTTACTACATTTTCTTCACTTCATCATTACCATAGCAGGCCAGGTTTTTGCCATCTTAAATTCTATTGCGTCCTTCCACCCAGCATTGGAGTTTCTGAAGGCTCGTCAAAAGCCGTTTCAGTGACTCGGTATCTCCATAAAACAAAAAATGGTCAGCAATGGCGGCTGTAATCTGGCGCGTGTGTAAAGCGTCTATAGTCCCAAAGCCAAGGCGCTTGCGGGATTCGACACTAAGAACATCAAAGAGCAAGCCACGAAGCATGAACATAATAGTGCACATTCTCTGTGCTTTAAGCCGTTGATGACTATGGAGAAATATCAACAATAATTTAAGCCCCGTTGTGAATTGTTGGGTTTTCGAGTTCGCACGGTACTATGTCGCGAGAAAACAAAGAAGAAGGTCGATCGAGAGCCAGGAGGGGCAAGGACCACCACCGATCGGACCAGCTTCTGTATAAATATCTCGCAGTTATTAAATACGAGTGTTTTGTTTTGGCAACCTGACCTAAAACAATTAACTCCGCGAATTTTGTAACAAGCCTGTTGCAAAAAAAATCTGAAGTATTTGCTCTTGTTCGGAAGTTCGGAAGCACGGTCTTGAAAGACCGTGCTACGATGGACGAAGAGGACACCGTCTGTCTGACCTGGGATTTCGCAAACTCTCTTACGTTCTTACGCTGTGTTGAATCGGATTTATTGCCACGGTTATGGATGGTTTGAAGTCAATGACGTATTGGTCCATGGGGAAGTTTCTGAGGACAGGGTAGGTTTAAGCGAGAATAAATTTACTTCCACCCGAAATGGAGCGCATCTTGGACCTATAGTGTGCACTCCAATATAATTTGCCCGGTCCGCGGGTTTTGACCCCGGGACTCCTTCAATACTATATATAGTCAATAACAAGTTAAAAAACACAGACGTGTGAACATAATGGAGCACGCCCTGTCATTCTTCGTTCGAATAGTTCCCCAATAACGCTTTGTCAAAAACATTAACGAGCGGGTACCTTCCCAAGAGTCACTAAGAACGTTCGGGGTCGTCCACCCAAAGAAACGTCACAGTGAAAAAAAAAAAAAAAAGTTCGCTCGTTTACCGTTTTGCAGAGCCACTGTCTTCTACGAAGCGCGTCAAGTGGACGACGAAACCTGAAGACACTTTGAACGTCGCAAAAAAGCTGTCTGCGCAGAAACAATCCGATTGGCATTAAATTTTATATTTGTTCTTGCACATATCGTGTTTCCCAAATCCATCTTGCTTTTTTTTTTTTTGCTTTTTTTGTGTGTGTGTGTGTGTGTGCGATTTGTTTTTGTTGGGCGCTCATCAAGAATTGCTGTGATTGGACCACCACACTCTAAAAACAAGCTCGTGCGTTTACTTTCCCGCAGAATACTCGGAGAGCCAATCACCGTAACTTACGGAGGCAGCTCAGCGAATGACGATGCCGAAGCATAACCTAAAAACGTAGTCTGAGTTGTGACACTAAGCAATGCAAGCGTGACGTTTTGCATTGCTTAATGTAACAACTCCGTGTGCGGTTCTTTGGCCTAAACATATAATTCGGCATCGTCATTCGCTGAGCTGCCTTTGTAAGTTGCGGGGATTGGCTCTTCAAGTGTTGTGCGTTAAAGTAGACGCACGGGCTTTTCTCAGAGTGCACGTGCTCCGCTGAAAAACATACGCGCAGTTATTACTGTTATATTATTTATTTCTTTTATGATTGTACGCGTTACAAAAACGTGGTTCGCAAGAACAGAACGTGTCACCTAGAGGGAACGGCCAAACTGAATGCGCCGCCACGCGTACCGGTTTGAGCTTGACGTTGCGGAACTTGACGATGGAGTAGCCGAGGAATATGCCGACGCAGAAGGCGCCGATGTGGTTGTACGGTTTGTGGTACACGTACGTCACCAGGTTAGACACGGTGCTGCGAGAAATGAAACAAAGGTGCACGCAAACACTTTGGTACACGTCACCCCTTCACCGTCCACGCAATTGTAACGGAGATTCCAGTTCATGTTAAATTCCAAAAAGGCATATCATGTGTGGGGGCATGTACCGAAGAAAACCAACCTGTTTTAATGTCGTTTTTTTTAAACTGATGTAAAGCGCGCTTGACTCTTGCCTTCTTACCTAATTTGCCAGTAAGCTACCATATGCTTATTAGAATAATGTGGTAATTAATGAGCGAGAAGGTATATTATTCTATCGTTCTGCGCTTGCAGGAAAAGGACCCCCTATTCGTAGACCCACACTTAATATAAATAATAACGGCATGGAGCTATAAAGCGTTCGAGTTAAAACATTGTCAACTTAGCCCAAGAAACGTAGGAGTTTGTTTAAAAGATGGCGATATAATTGTATACGATGATTTCAGATGAGGTCGGCCGACCATGGCCGATAACCTTTTTTTTTATTATTATTTTGATGAAAAAAAAAAAGATTTTGTTGACTCAATGCCAATCAAAATAAAACTAACTTTAGTTTTACGAAAGAAAAATATTTGTCTTCGGAAACAAACAATTAGAAGCACACCCTCATTTCGAAGCGCTTTCTCCGGGTTGCGCAAAGTTGGCATTTCGGGCACCTTCCCCGAAACAACTGCTGCGTCTTTAGGTCTAAAAATATTTACTGACAAACTAGGCATACGGGGGATTGACAGAAAGTGTTTACCATGGAGTCTACGAATATACCCGAGGTATTTACCACGAACTTAGCGAGCAAAAATCGTAAACACCGCAGATTGCGCAATAATGCTTAGCGTTGATCATTTTTTTTTATATCTATAAATCATAAGACTCCACTTTCATTTTTGCGCTAAATATCGATGTCCCGGCTAACGGGGCAAATTTACGACAGACGCTCAAATGGGACCATTTGACAAAAGACGGATTATTTTGAAAATCAATTTTAAAAAAGGCCATCTTCGATTTCTTTTGAACTCTTCCACTTTAAGCTCATTGATATGTAATAAAGGAATCTTCAAAGTCATGTTGCATTATTTTCGCGTAATTTATGTTAAATAGCAGAAAATCTAGCCTAATTGAGGCTGCTGCCGTGCCGAACATGCATGCTCATAATTGACAGTTCGAAATTTTCACTGAGCTCAAAAATGCACAGGGGCTGTCAGAAAGAAACAACTTGACGTCACAAAGGCGGACGGGGTTTTTAAAGCCACAATTCTTAGTGCGTCATTTTGTATTAAAGTAGCAGAAAACGCGCACGGTTCCCGCGATCGAGATGCGCCATCATGTTGCATGCTTCGCAGGCCCTGTTTTCAATATCCGGCGTATCGCATGATCCTATAGCGTCCTGGTGTACGCAACGAAAATTCAATGGGGTGACTAGCTGGGACTCCACACTCAAGTCGGACTCCTGACCCGAGGAGCGACATATGCACGCGCCAGAGATATTCGACGCCATCCGAGAGCACGAGCTGCGTGGCAGAATATACACATGGCAGCTCCCCCCGCGAAGGTCTCGTCGAATGAGCAGAGGAGTGCGCGACGAGAAAGACGACATCCTAGACTTGTAACTAATAAACGTTAATTAGATTAATAAATCATATCTTTTATAGAAACGACAGCAATCCCTATAGATAACACTAGAGCAGCCGCGGTGCCTCCACGCGCGGTAATAGAACAACCGCCACGGTGGGCCGCGAAACGCGAAAAGAAGAAAAACATAAAATAAAATAATTCTGGTTCTTTTTTAAAGTAATCTTCTACTGTTTTTTTTTTTACGGGGACAATCGGTCGGACTCGTCCTGAGCATCGCATACCGCATCCGTCCATACATCTTTCATCCATAAGCTGGCAATGTAGTATGAGCTACGCGCTCGCCGGAGTATTCAACCGCCTCGTTTTCACGATCCAATGCGTTCGGGCAGTCTCTGGCTTTTTCATACCGTAGGAAATCCAGGACTGCATGATATGACTCTAAGACTTAAGGTTCGTTCACACAGCTGCGTCGACTGCGTTGCGCTGCATTGCGTCGTGCAGCAGAACGCGTCCCTATTGGCTCGTCGTAAGGGTCGCCATAGCAACAGCTTGACGAAGCCAAACGCGGTCAAACGTAACTGTGTGGACGAGTCTTTAGAGTGTACCAGGTGCTGGGAGAGTCGGTCCTTCGGTACGAAATATGGTTCACGCTCTAATTATCGTGAAAGAAATTTAGACAATATTTTACATTACGTATAGTCAGGAATATTTCGTATGGAACGAAATTTGACGAGTTAGAAACCGGTGTAAACAGGCGGACGCTACAAATTTTCCCGCTTTGAAAAGTTGTATTTTTTGTTTGCATGCTAATACTAATAAAGAATTATTTTAATAGCAGATATAAACAGCCACTAGACAAGCAAATAGTCTTAAAAAGAACGGAAAGGTTTTTTGAACCAAAAGTGCTTACAAATTACTGAAACAAAGAAAGGTCTTTTTGCGTACCTCATTACTATAATATGTTGCCTGCTGAGCTTCTACAATTTCAGTCGCTTAGAGCTGTCAAAAAAAGCTGAGATAATGGTGCATAAACTACGATTTCTAATTTGTTTCATGGACGGTTCCATTTATACTGTGTTTTATAAACTGCGATTTGTGAATTTTGTGTGTGTGTGTGTGTGTGTGTGTGCATCTGGATGTTTCCCTTCGGTGGTTTTGTTCCACCTTGCAAATATGTGTGTGTGTATGTGTGTTTGTGTATTTTGTATACTTATTGCTCATTAGCTATAGCATCTCCGCTGGCTGTCATGCCCCGCGCATAAGCATCTCCTTGCGGGCCTGTGTGTGATTTTGTATTTATTCACGGTGTAATAAAATATTATTATGGTCATTATTATTACCTGAGCCCGCTCTCTCTGCGTGGGTTTGACCAGGATCGTTATCACATGGCGATAGAGAGAGGTATCAATGTTAAATCTTTCACCACACCGCCAGCTTAGAAGTGGACGGAGTCAGAGCCGTTTATACTGAGAGAGTTTTTTTTTTTTTTCTTCAATTTTTATTGGCCTTCATAAAGAGATTTTGACAGCCTGACAACCACAGCAGCCTAGTCGGACAACCCGGGGAGGACTACTTCCGTCCGCCATTTTGTGGCTCTGACTGATGGAACTCTATGTGATTTCTGAGGAATAAACAAGACGAAGTAACGCCATTTTGTGTTATCGCGAAATCCGCTGGTTCTAGCGGGCAACGAGCTTCGCCCATTGGCCGAACTCTCTCAGTATAAACGGCTCTGAACGGAGTATAGCGTTCCCTGCGTTCCCTTGGCTGAAGCTATTTGTATTTAGCGCCCCCCTTATCTCCCTCCCTACATCCTTTCCCTTCCCCACCCTCTCTCAGATGTCAGGAGACAGGGGATTAGAAAGAATCATTTATATAAAAACATGCTTAATTATATTAAAAAGTTTTGCGGCACACCGCAACGGCGGCTCTATCGCAGCGCGGAGGCGCCGCCGGTTCTGTCGAGCCGTATCATAGAGATAAACTGAGATAAACATGTGCAGAGCGGAGGGTCGCTTTTTTTGCGTGGCGTGCGCAGAGACGCTGTACGGCGGCTATTTAAAACAGGCCCTGAGAAGCATGCGGCATGAGAGCGCCTCTCGTTTACTCCTGCGCGTATGCATTTACTGCAACTCGAGTACAAAAACGAACAAAAAATTCCCCCTTAAATCAAAACCACCGTCCGCCTCTGTGCCGTATATTTATTAATTTCTCACCAGCCGTGTGCATTTTTACGTTTTAAAATAATAAATGTGGAAACTATAGGTAGGCGCACGGCACTGCGGTAGCCTAAATTTGGCCATATTTCTCGCTTTAGAAATTTGAAAACTAAAAAATAAAGCAATATGCTTTTTTTTTTCAGATTATGATAGTATACATATTATTCAACCATTGGATTGGAGGAGCTTTAAAAAGAAATTAAAGATGGTCCTTTTTTATTTTTAAAATAATTCGTATTTAGTAAAATGACCCCTTTCGAGCGTTTCTAGCAAATATGTCCCGCTAACCTGGACAACAACATATATATAGAGAAAAAAAAAAGAATAAAATACAGGGCAATACGCTGGCAAAATTTGAAAATTGTAAATGCTAAGCGTTATTCCCCAATGAGCCGTGTTTGCGATCTTTATTTTAAAACTAACAATGTCATTACTCCGTGGAAAATACTTTGGGTCAATCCTCCGTATCTGCATTTTGTCAGAAGATATTTTTAGACCCGTAGACGCGGCAGTTGTTTTGGTGGGAGGTGCCTGAACTGCCAACTTTGCGCAATCCGCAGAAAGCGTTTCTGTTTGAGCTTGTATTTTTTTTCCCACAAAAGCACACAATTGTATTGCAAAACAAAAGCCGCGATTATTTTTTGGTGGGCGTTGATACACAAAATAGTTTTTTTTTTTGCGTCAAAACTATGCAAATCACGTGTCTTACGGCCGAACGAGAGCGTTGGCAAGAACGACTGACGCATGCACTCTAAACACAAAATGCAACGCATATTTTTGCCGTTCTCATTATACGATCCGTATACTGGATATACACACTATGGCGCTTGGAACGCGTCTTCGACTGCTGTTGTTTACCACATCCTCAAACGGGGTCCTTCGATTTACCCCCGATGAAGTATAGAAGTTTTTGTTGCCTGCCGCGATCTTGACGGTGGCAAAACAGCGGAGGTGCCCGTCCTGCCGTAGGTCGCTCTGCGGGCAGACAGTTCGCGGAAGCTTAAACATGCAGCCAGGAGTTGGGACGCTGCGATCACAAGGGGGGCTCCCCGCGTCCGGCCGTCTTCCTTGCCAGCATTTCAAAGACCAACCGTCAGGATCGCGACATTCGACAGCGTGACTCGCCAGCTCCTGTGACGTCATTTGTTGCCGGTTCGGAACACCTTCGGTGCACGGGCGGGACGAAGTGCTAAACGCACCAGTCGCGGACGCGTTCCGGGCACCTTAATGCAGAGGCACTTCCGAGCAAGTAAGGATGCTTTCGCGCTCCCATTTTCACGAACGAGCGACGTTCGGTCGCGAATTAAAGAAGAGCGCAGCAGTCGACGGGGAGTATCCCGCCAGCGGGGGCAGATATCAGAGGTCACGTGCTCACTCGAGGTCCGGGTAGAAGATGAGTCCCGGCGGCAGCTTGGCCACGAACGTGATGACTCCGGAGGCCACGCTTCCCGCCAGCAGCAGCAACAGGTTGATGAAGATGCCGACCCGGGGCCAGCTGCCCCAGGGAATAGAGCGTGTGTCGAGCAACCGTCGCGCTGTTTACAAACAAGTCCTCGTTTGCCCGCACGAGGTGTGGGCACAACGCATGCGCATAAGCCAGCTTTGCGTAAAAACGAGAATCTGCGCATGCGCTCTAGTGGCGTAATGTCAGAGCCACGCGTCGGCGAATGGATTTGCGCGACAACTCGAGCGATAAAATTAAAGCCAGACATGCTCCGAAACCGTCCCTTCGAGTCCGTGGCTCCCATATTGGTGTGCGGGACAACACCAATCGCTGGTCCTTCTTTAACCGGGTCGACCAATGAGAAGGACGATCGGTATCATGCACTGTCTATGAGGTCGCTGTGCCAAGAGGATGACCACGATTATTGGTGTCTCGAGTGCGCAGCGGGTAGTGTACACATAGGCTGCATTTACGTGTATGCGACCGTGGCGCGTCGAATCGAGATTTTATTATTTTGACCAATAGCAGGGTGGTAGAAGAGGAATAGGTAGGAAGTCAAGGATGCGTGTGGGGATCGGTCTCTGTTTCAATCGATGCGCTATGATCGCATCCGTGTAAGCCCAGCCATACAGGAGCTCCTGCAGGGTTCGTAGATTCTCCCGAGTACGTAGATTCCCCGTAGAAAACCCCGGCTTTCTCACCGCACAAATAAACTACGCATCACAAGACGCTCTTTGTCCGCCTAAATGTAGCACTAACAGTTCAAACCAATTGCCTTGTTTTTTTTTTTAACTTACCATTATGAGATCCATAAGGTACGAGAGATTTTCGCAGTTTTGAATGAGAAAATAGCGGTCAACGGAGCTTGTGAATACATAAAAGTTAATGCCGTCTGCAACCGTGAAGGCCCACTATCTTACTGATTTTTTTTACAGCGGAGCTGTTAAGGGCTAGGCTCCCCGGGATCGTGTCCGGTACCAAAGAAATGTCGACACAAACCTACGCGCCATCTATAACCGACAGCAGCAACCAGGCGACCAGTCTGGTTGCCGCCGTCGCTCATAGATGGCGCCAACCTTTCCAGATATAATAGAAAAATGTATAGTTGGCAGAGTTGGTGGGAATTCATCGTAGGAACAGCGCGAAAAAAAGACGAGGACGAAGAAGAAACGCACGTGACGAGCGCAGCGCACGTCACGTGTGTTTCTTCTTCGGCCTCGTCTGTTTTGCGCGCTGTTTCCTACGCCCTTATCAGTTTCGGTTTGGACTCACGATAGGTCGGCCACGTGCCCTTTCTTCGGGAAAAGAAGACCGAGTGAGGAAGGAGCGGCGACGTACGCAGCAACGCGAATGGGTCCGCAACCGCCGCGTGCGCCGAGCGCTTCAGATTCTCTTGTGAAAGAAGAGAAATCGCTCGCCTGGAAAGCCGCCGCCGAGAACAGAAGTTACAGCGCCGCTGCTCTTCCTTCTTCACCAGAGTGGAAAGGCTGAAAGCTTTTTTATCGCTTATAGCTATAGAATAAAATAGCGGTAAGATCTTAACATTTGCCATGTATACAGTCCCAACGCAGTTACACTAGGACGGAAAACGAGCGTCCGGAAATGTGTTGTTCATTTTTGCGGGGAAAAAACACGCGGGTCTGTATTTCCAAACGTCCGGTGCTTTCGAGCAAAATTACTTGCATTCTGGGTTTGTCGAATCATTCTGACGTACAATTCCTCTGGCGCACACTTTAGAGGAAACAGAAGGACAAAAGGGTGCCTGCGTGAGGCAAAACGGTTGGTAGTGCGATTCTCACGCGCTGCGTGCCGCGATTCAGAGCGGGGTGCGGTGCCCCGGGGCGTGACCGTACGACGCCACGGTTCGCCGACACCACCCCGTAACAGTTCGAGAGATTCGCACGCCATCTCGTGTGTTGCTCGCTCAATCGACACTCGTCATGCGTACGGCCCCACACACCTGCGAAAGGATGACAATAAGACCTCTTCCTAACACTAGAAGACTTTTCTACACTCACACCTAGGAACTATTAGCGCCGAGATGTTTTAGTGGTGCCCCCTAAAGCCGGGGTCACATCGTACATCATACAAAAGACAGTCTGCATTCAGACTCCAACCTGAGTCACCGCGAGATCTGTGCTTCGAATGCAACGTGCCAATCGGTTCAAGGAGGAAACTTGGCACACGGCATCTGAACCACGGATATTGCAGAAGGGTATGCACTAGTTGGTGACCCATGTTTGTGAGGGTAAAAGCGCTAAAAACAACGGACGAGTAAAAGAAGCCAACAACACAGAGCGCTACTTGCAACTGAAGTTCATTCTCAGAAAAAACACACATATATATATACACCGTGAAATTGCGACATGTACTACAGAAATGCGACAACACCCAATCAGTGACCGCCTGTCCGCTGTCTACTTTACGAAAGGTTTTAAAAACGCCACCTCAGAGCCAAAGAGGGCTATAGAAGGAGAGCTGACACACGTTCCTTCAACGCACTCAGATATGAAAAAAGCTTCGGATATCTTCCTTGTCATTTTGTTTCGGTTTCGGGCCAAGATAATGGTGTTGTCAAACTTCGGGACACACCCGCATCTGTCACAGTGCACAGCCAGATTTCACGAGGGAAGTATCAAAGTATACATAGGCCAATCGGGGCGTTGTATAAATGATATATGCTCAGGGAGCATGCACTGTCAGTTCGACCGTCGCCCTCAGGAACTCTGGCTGTGCACTGTGACGGATGTGGGTGTGCCCCGAAGTTTGACAACACCATTATCTTGGCCCGAAACCGAAACAAAATGACAAGGGAGATATCCGAAGCTTTTTTCATATCTGAGTGCATTGAAGTAACGTGTGTCAGCGCTCCTTCTATAGCCCTGTTTGGCTCTGAGGTGGCGTTTTTAAAACCTTTTGTAAAGTATATAGCGGACAGATGAACACTGATTGGGTGTTGTAGCATTTCTGTAGTACATGTCGGGATTTCACGGTGTATATATATGTGTGTTTTCTGAGAATAAACTTCAGTTGCAAGTAGCGCTCTGTGTTTTTCGTTTCTTTTACTCATCCGTTGTTTTTAGCGCTTTTACCCTCACAAACACGGATATTAGCGGCGAGATGTTTCGGTGGCGCCCTCCTATGGTTCCCCCTTGTGACGTCATTACCTTGCGAACAACAAGTTCGATGGTGTTTGTAAATAGCATGGTGGAAGCCTGAAATCATTGCGCTCTCAAAGCAACACTGCCAACACCGTCGAAATTAAAGTTCTTTCATTCCTCTTATTTCCGTCGATGGTATACCCTTTCCGACGTCATAGTCAGCTTTTGGGCCAATCGTGGAAGGCCGACCACAGCGACGCTTTCGGTCGCGCACGTCGCCAATTGCGGTGACTCGTGTTTGCAGACTGTCGTTTGTATTATGTATGAGTTGTGTAACCCCGGTTTTATGGTTTCCATCTGTGACATCCCGATCAGGATTTGCCTCGCCATGACGCCACGAGTTGTGATGCTGACTGCTTATCATCCGTTGGGACGACAAGCTTCATGGCATATGTAAAAAGCAACGGTAGAAGCTAGGAGAAATCGCGTTCTTAAACTAACACCGTGGAACTTGACAGTCTGTCACTGCTGTTATGACCGTCGTTTGGCCCATCGCGGAACGCCGACCAAAGCGAGGCTTTTGGTCGTGCACAACCTTACGTCCAGACCACGGTGTAAGATAATACTCTTCAGGTGGGGACAGCGCGCTCCTCGCGCAGTGCAGATGAAGTTCGCTTTTCACTCTCCCTCTTTCTCTCTCTCACTATGGTTTCAAGCGGCGCCGGCAGATGACTCGTCGACCCGTGGGCACGGCAAAGGCGGCTCGTGCCGCCTCATCCTCCTCACGCGCAGAGCTCCAGCGAAGTTGTCCCACGTGCAGAAAGACCACGGTGTACGGGCAACGAGATAATTTTTTTCGCTCTCACACAGTTTCGCCGTTTGGCCGCCGGCGACACTGTCAGCCGCGGGCACGTAGAGTGCCTTCATACACACGCGCGCTTTTGCTTGAGTGGTGACATCTCAGCCATTTTCACGCCCAATCGTTTTTTTGTGCATTTTGAAGTGCGCCCAATACGGTGTTACTCAGCTCGAGCGTGCAGCTTTGGCTAATGCATAGACGCCATTTTATCGCCCAAGTCACGCACCAAGTGCGCGAGAGTGTCACGCGCTGGCACATTCAGTGCAACAATGGATGTCTTCACCCTGAGACAGACAGACATGTAGGCACCCTACGGGCACGGTGCACGGCAACGGAATAATGCGGCCTTTCGGATGCCCGTCGAACGAACACTATCTGATTCCTCGCGCCCCGCGTTCAGCCCCGCCGTGTCCACACCTAAAGAGTATATCTTACACCGTGGTCCAGACGCAGACGATGCTACAAGACCGAGCAAAAGGCCCTGAGCCGTGCTTGCACTGCACGAGCGCGCGTGCTTGCAGGGACGCTGAAAGCCCGGAGCTCGCTCTTGTAGCTTCTGCTACGCTCACACTTAAATTGAAACGGTGTAGACGGTGACAGATTAAGATTGGAGTAGGAGCTCCGCCTCCAGCACGTGCTCATTGAAACAAAAATTGGGTTGTGTGTATGGTTATGCAGCCTAGAACCTGGTCTGCCTTAACGGGCGACGAGACTCCCAAGTGTAGATGAGAAATTTAGCCAGTGCAGTACAACCGCTAACCTGGGGTCCTTAACGTGCATCACACATTAGTGATACACGACCGCACTTCGGTACGATGCTCATCCAGATCGAAACGGGCAGGGGTGGCGATAGACCGATCTCACCAAGCGTTCGGCGCACGCGTGACGCCGCCATAGCTTTAGTTCGCAGGAGGCAGGCAGCAGTGCACAAGACAGCTCGTGCCGCCTCATGTTCCACACGTGCAGAGCTCCAGCGAGGTTGTCGCACGTGCAGAAAGACTAAAGCTCCATCGATGCATTGCGGCAGTGGTGGCGTCACTGATCTCTACTATAGGGGGCTGGATGGCGCTTAGCTTCTCTCCGAGCCTGGCGCAAGTGAAGCCACCGGAAGTTCGATGCTTGTCCCGGAAGTCGGGCGTTCGCTGGGCTTTCTAGTGCATTCGGTCGATATTTTGGACCATGCTCTTTTAAGTTTTTGATTGGGTTATTATACTCCCGTTCTGGACTAAATCCCGAGAATGAGGCATTTGAACTTGGGACATAATTACACTCGATCAACTAGAATCGCAAAATGTCTATATTGCATGACTTACCATGATACTTCTCGGGTCTGCATGCGCTCTTACTGCGCAACAAGCAGGCTTTCTTGAGGGAACGAGCGAAAATCCAGCGCCCTCGACACTTTTCAATCCAGCACTCGGAAGGGTTACAAAGCCTGCCAAGCGCTCACTTCCGGGACAAGGCGCTTACTTCCGGTGGCTTCATACCTGTTTGCTCAATGTAGGGTGCCTACATGTCTGTCTGTCTCAGGGTGAAGACATCCATTGTTGCCCTGAATCTGCCAGCGCGTGACTCTCTCGCGCACTCGGTGCGTGACTTGGGCGGTAAAATGGCGTCTATGCATTAGCCAAAGCTACGCGCTCGAGCTGAGTGACAGCAGATTGCGCGCGCTCCAAAATGCATAAAAGAACGATTGGGTGGAAAAATGGCTGAGATGTCACCACTCAAGCAAAAGCGCGCGTGTGTATGAAGGCACTCTAGCTCAATGCTCAATGCGCCATCCAGCCCCCTCTAGTGGAGATCAGTGGGTGGCGTAGTCAAACTCGCTGGTGAGATTGGTCTATTAAACCCAGTATCCTGGGTTCTGCAGCGCCAGCTTTCGCTCTACGTGCTCCGAGCTGGTGTGCGCTAGTTCACTCGGCCATCGATCCCCCTCGTGCTCACTACCTTTTGCCGGACTTTGGCTGCGCGTCCGTCCAAGCGCTGGAAAAGTTAGAAACCTCGCGCTTGGGGTGGAGCTTCAACTGCTTTGCAGGCTTTCGCGCTCCTGCTTATTCGCCACTCTAGAGGTGGCAACGCTAACTACGGGAAAAGGTTTAAAGGAGAGGAAAGGGGAGCCACTGCCTATCCAAGTGTGCAGTGAAAACTGGTGCGGTCCGGCGGACGAAATGTGAAGCAAAAGATATGGGATTAAATGCGTGGCCTTTGAGTTGTCATTATCGGAGGCTATGTATTACCTGTATGCTGCTGCTGGTCAACAGCGTCCTCTCGTTTTGTCTGCTAAGAACTCGAATTCAACTTTTCTTTTTTGTGTGTGTGTTTGGGGAAGGTAGGGGAAAATGGAGGAAGGAACCGATGTCTTCCGTATCCATCCCCATTAATGGCGTGTTCACAAGTATTTTTTCTGGCTGTGGCATTTGGTTGCTTATGGATGAAGTGAAGAAGAGGCAGCTGACTGTGGTATAATATATTTATGTCTTCAAACAGCGTTCGTGCGTGAGAGCTTGCGTGTTCGCCTAGTGCCGACAAAGTGCACGTTTGATACGCTGTTGTTTACTTGTCAATGTATGGGCTAACTTATTCCGTCGATATTTAGAATCAAAAAAATATTACTCGAACAATCAACAAATGTGACGCTTTTCGTGACCCAAAGAAAACATCGAATGTTTACTTGATTATTACTGCCACAGTGTTTTCCAATAAACATTTCCGTTGGTGTTACACAATTCAGGTTGCTTTTGTATTATCGTTCGTGTTTATAATCGTTTATCTTGCTTCGAAATATGGGACAGGACACAAACGAATACTTCGCTCATGTCTCGAATACACGTAAGGCAATGTTGCCAACTAATATTTTGTTGGCAGGAGTACAGTGCATCATTGTGACAATACACACATTTCACATGCGTGAACGCAGAGCTGATCCAAATGTTGTGCGGTTTGTCAGCGCGAGCTTGTTGCTTTAACCTAAATATCTTCGACAAAAAAAAAAAAAAAATGTTGGGCTGCTGGAAAGCCCCTTGATGCTCCACCTGAACCAAAATTACTTTAAAAAGACCAATTTTCCGCGTGTACGATTCTTGTATTTCACGACAAGTGGAAATCCAGGATAGCTAGGTGCAATATATGCAGCCTAATTACACGAAAATACAGATGTTAGTACTTACTTATAGAGCGGAATGATGATGAATACAGAGAGGATGAAGAACTGGAAGTTGCATGCCAGGTACCATGTGGCCACAAGGCACTGATAGAAAGACAAAGATATACCGTGAATTGTTCGCAGAAGGTACTCGGCCTCCATACAAGCCCCCGACCGAACAGTGTAGAAATTCAGCCTTGGGCAGTGCGGAAGGAATCATTCATTGCCAAGAAAAGAGCTCGAGCGCGCGTTCATATCAAATTGAAAGACCTTCTAACCTCAGGCATGTGCCGCGCTGACATATACATGTTTGTTTTACACAGTACTAAAGGAAACGAACCCCATGGGAAATTTTCTAGACAGCCCAGACAGCTGAGACAGTTAGGGAAGAAGCTTCCCTAAAGCCGCAGTCCCATCTCTCGTAGATTTATACAAAAAAAACAGGATGTCCTCTGCAGACATGACGAAAGCATTATTTGCAGACGGTTCTCAAGCATGTTCGAAGCCTGCTAGCTTCATAGTTTATGCAAACGTAAGCTTCGAACCAGGGGTGGGCAGTATTTCAAATACAAGTATTTGAAATACGTATTTCAAATACTTTGTGTATTTTGCATTTGTATTTAATTACAAATTGGGTAATGTATTTGACGTGTGCATTTAGATACTAAAACGTGGGTATTTCAAATACAAGTGTAATTAAATACAATTTTGTGGGCAAAAATACATCCCTCAAATTTATTGTCGCGACTCATTTTGCTCATCCTAAGACGTGTCCAGAGCAGGAAGAAAACTACTTTCTGCACCAAATGCAGTGTCTCTCAATCAAGCACAAGCGTCTAGTGACTTTGTGATTACGGTGATAGTCCAGGGCAAGGATAGTGACGAAATCGACGTTCACAGGCAGACTGGCTAAACAAGTGCCTGTGACAACTTGTGATACTTTCAGCCTGATTTCCATTCATATTTTTGCCTGGAACATTCTAAATGTGCGGGTCGTCCAGATTTTCGTAACTGGTGCGAGTTGCAACAATAACAAATTCTCTGGCTAGTGCTGCGCGTCTTGGTCGTCTCAGTTCTTTGTTGGTCTAAACCAAAATATAATGGCCAAAGAAAGCTGCTTAGAGCTCTGTAATTTTTTCACCTATTACGTCCAAGCTGATTGCATTTTTTTAGTTATATTTCTATTACGTTACTAGAGCCTCGCACACTAACTCCAGAGTGTGCGATGCAAAATTAAAATGAGATACCCAGAAACCCATTGCAGGTGCCCTGAGGTCGCTGACGCAAATTTTGATGAATGTATTTGGAAAAATATTTGGAGGAGACCAAATACATTTGGTTGTATTTGTATCTTGTACTTAAATGATTTTTGGAGATGTAATTAGATTTGTAATTAAATACATTTTTGACGAAGTATTTTGTATTTGTATTTCGATACATATCTGCATGTGTTTTGCTCATCCCTGCTTCGAACATATGTCTTCAGGCAGTCCTGGAAGGATGATAATGAATATTTCATTAACCTTTATGAAATATCATAACCGTAAGCTTTATGAAATATCATTTATCATTCTTTCTTACTTATGCCTATTTTTTAAAATCTGGTATCATTATTCATTCACGTGTCAAGACACATTAGCACTTTCAGCATTATTTTTTCAGCTCCTCAAAAACAAGGCTGACGTTGGTCAATGCAACGCGAGTGATTTTCGTTTTATTTTATTATGTATTATTCCTTTCTTCCTTCTTCGGACTTCTGCAGTTTGGAATCACCTCGCCCCACAAAATGCTACGATTAAGGACACAATGTGCTTTCAAAGTGTTTTCGTTACACTTTTCTTGTTTTCTTTTCATTGGAACCTTAACTGAGTGTTCGTTTTGTCCCAGGTGTCGTGCTCTATATGGCATATGATCCTGAAGCATAATAAATAAATCGTACACCTCACTGACTAAATTGATAATCTACTCCGTCAATCTGCATTGCCACATCTCAAAGGCATGCCGACCTTTTACTGCGTAAATATTTCACACCTAATTTGCATTTTGCTGGTCTCAGACATGACAAATGAAAGCCATTTTACTTGCATAGACCGCTCCTCTAAGCATGCCACCGACCTGCAATAAGAAAACGTAGATACTAGCGGGTAGTATCACTAAAGTGTGGACAGGAGCACAGCACGACCCTGGTCTTATCTGAGAGAAGCATTAAAATAAAAAAGGATTAAGGGCGACTATACCTTCCGTCCCCGTCTCCGACTCGCCTTTGAAGAGCGTTAAGTTTACTTTCTGATAACGATGGTACAAATATTTTGCCCAATTTTCGGACGTCCTGTTAGATACGGTTCCGCCGATTGGCTGCAAGACACAAATAACATTCCGTGCCCACCTTTGCCCGGACATTAACGAGACCAAATATTGAGAAGTGCAATCAAATAAGGACAGTCAAAAGAATTCCCTCATATCGGTAAAGCCGGAAATAGAGCGCAGTGGTGTGTACACAAAGACACCATTCAGCTGAAATGTACATAACACACAGAATGTTCACTTAGGAAACTGCCTGCGTTTATGGATATACCTGTCTCGCGCGGTGCTTGTGGTCCTGCCATCTTCTAGAGCCTTTCAAAACTCTAAGCAAAAGCATCTGACTTTTGAGAGACGCCCTATCGCCTCCCGTCTCCAGTGCTTCCAGTTGCTACCGCTAGGAGAGCAAACTCTTTAACTTAAACGTTCTAACAATCCGATTGTTGACTTGCCGTTCGAGTGGCCCTTTGAGTGGCCCTTTGACTTTCCATTGATTCCATCCTCTACTAATTGTCGTTTTCTTCTTTCCCTTTGCTAGAGCACAGCGGTGCACTGGTATTTGAAACGTAGTGGTGGTTGTTCACCATCTCCTTGGACTGCCAGAAGTTGTTGATGAAGAGCAAGTTGGACCACCAGGCTCGCTCGCACAGCTCAATCTCGGTGCCCATGATGTCCGTCCAGAAGGGACCGTCGCCCAGCACGGGCATCAGGAACAGCAGGCCTAGCGAGAGCAGTAGCGGAGGGGCCATCCTGCGCGAAGTCGTTGGGCACCATCACCACCGAGCGCTATCATCGAGGAAATCAACTTCTACCATCATCGTCATCACCCTGTTCGTACTCATCGTAGACACCGTCATTATTATGGACGTGGGCTTTGTGAATATCATTATTAGCGTCTTCATTTATCTTCTTTGGGGTCTCGTACTCGCAATATGCATGGAAGTGGGACCCGTCAATTAAATAACAAAAAAAAAAAAAGCCTCTTCAAACCAGCAGAGGCTGCGCGAACATAAAATCTACTTAACTCCGACGTAACAGTGGCCCTAGATGCCAGAACTACAGAGTACGAGAGGACATCGAGCATGCGCTGCTCAAAAGTACGCGGCAGGTCCCAACGATATTGGGTCGGAATGCTCCTTACTTTAAACAACTCTACTCAGTCTAGTGTGGCCCAAGTACACTGGCACGCCACACCACTCACTGGCCAAAGAGCTCATCGGTCGCGGAGTAATTTCAAGGATAAAAACAATTTTTTTCTTTCACTTCTTCCTTCGTAAAACATAAAGTCTAGCGGATATCGGTGTTGACGTAGTAACGGGAGTTACTTATGGGAATGATAGTAACATGAGGCTCAAAAATTAAATAAGAGCGAGAACTTGATCTAGGCTAGTGACGAATGCCTTGACGAGTATAGTGGCTTCGGGTAGTGGCTCGTCTCCAATGGCTGTAATGGCTGCAATCACGGAAATAATCAAACCCTTTAACTCAGGCTGCATTTACATGAATTCGACCGTAGCGCATCGAATCGAGATTTGACAATTTTTATTTGTAGCAGGTGGGTAGAATAAGAAGTAGGAAGACAGGCTGCGTGCGATTGGCCCATGCACGATTTTATGCGCTACAATCGCATCCGTGTAAACGTAGTCGGGAACCCTGCACGTATTTTGTGCTTTGTCTATTCCAGCGCGTGACAATCGGCTAAAAATGAAAACGTAAGAGAGCGGGCGACCTGATGGTAGTTTCTCATAACGCGCCATACCCGAAACTGTGGTAAGAAAAAAGCGGAGTCGAAAAAGAAAAGATACAGGAGGAAAACGTCTCAGACTGCTTCCTCCCGTGTATTTTTCTTTCTCTCCTCGCACCTTGTACGCACCCATAACCACGCACCCATAAACCACGCGACCCCGATCTAGCAGTTGGAAACACTCTCAAATAGAGAGAAAGGGGAAGAAAGAGAATAAACTTTAATAAACGACTCAAGTCTGAGCCGTTTTTAGCCTTCATTGGAGGATGAGGGTGCGTTGTCCTCGTCCTTCTTGGGGTCGGTGGGTTTGGCGTCCGAGGATGGAGTTATTTTTCCAATGTGGGGACGAGAAATGACCACATGGTTGCTTGCAGATCTTTTGGGGGAGCAGCCCAGCTCGCCCAGGAATAGGGGACTGAGGAGGGAAGGAGGGAGGGAGAGAGACGCGGTGAGGGAGATTGAGGCCCCGGGACAGGACCAGTATGTCTGCTCATTGGAGTGGTAGCCTCCGCAGTCATTGCAGGTGGGGCAACCAGATCGGAACTGGATGATGTGCATATAGTTCTCTATAGGACGAGCGAAGGTTTGTACTTGTTGGAAAACAGAGGCCTCCTGTCTGGAGTGGGACCAGGAAGGGGAGGCGCTGGGACCTGAAGCTGGCCATATGTGCAGTTCGTTCCTTGTGATGTTGGGAGCGGTCCTCGCGGAGATGGTATGGTTCCGGCCAGGATGTTGGGGGGCCCTGAGGTTCGCTGTCGCGGGCCAGAGTGTGTACTTGCTCGTTTCCTTGAATCCATTCTAGATAAACTCTAAGTTGTGAACCGGTTCGCATGTATTCGTGGAAAGAAGTGTGGATGTGACTAGTCAGTGCTTGCACCTCAAAGCTGCGGAGAGCTCCCTGACTGTCCGTCTACACAGTGATGGTTTCCGTGGCGTGTTGGTGCAGGATAATTGCTTCTACGATGGCTTGTGTTTCCGCCTCCGCTACTGAAGGAACCCCGGAGTGTAGCCGCGTGGTGGAGGTGGAGAGTTTGACCGTCGTCGTCACGGCCTTGTCGTCGATGACTTGAGCGTCAGTGTAGTATTTGTCATGCGCCGGTTCATGGAGATGGTCCGCTCTGTCTTGCCTGCGTTGCGCGTCTGTAGTGCAATTCATGTTGCGGGGTATAGGGTGAACGACGAAACGGGTAACGTCATCCCAAGGAGGTGGAGTCGGGGGAATGGGAGGTGTGTGTGTGTGGGGGGGGGGGGGGGGGGGGGCAGGTGGTTTTTTCAGCGCCCTAGCAAATGTAGGATGGCTCTGCCATGTGCGAACTTTGTGAGTCGGTGAAGTTAGGCGCAGTGGTGGTTTTCTATCCGCCCATCGAGGGAGTTGAAAAGGGACATGTCTTCTATTTCGAAATTGGGGGTGTAGAAAGGGACTTCGAGGATGTTGCTGGTGCACTTACGAAAAGCCGCTTCTAGGCGCCGGAGTTGCGTGGCCGTGAGCTTCCGGCAAGGGTGTGCGTATTAACGCGCGAGTAGACCATGGTTTCGATTACCTTGCGCAGTTCATGTTCCTTGAGGCCTTGGCGTTGCCGGGTGATGCGCCGGATCATCTAATTCACTTGCTTGATCTGTTTGATAATCAGAGGAGTCCACACCGACTGCAGCCGTTTTGCTGAAAGATGAAGCCAATGCCCTGGATGGGTGGGCGTCGAAGAATCGGTGAGACGTTGATCTGAAGCATGAGGTCTCAATAGGTCTGGGTGATTATGCGTGGATCTTTTAAAACCACAACGTATTCCCTCTTGTTGGGCGAGCTTGTAAGGCTGATGGTCTGGGCGTGAGCGTGAACTACGACGAGACATTTCTGCAGGGTGTCCTCCTGCTCTTCATGGAAGCCTGTGCAGCGCTAAAGGATGATATCATCTTCATAGATTGTGTGATGGAGGTCTGGGATGGCGGATAGCTGGGCTGGAAGATTTTTCAGGGTAAGATCGAAGAACTGGGGTGACAGTATTGAGCCCTGGAAAATCCCTCGCCGCAGCGCAGATGGTTGTGACGGGTTTCCGTCTGGGTCGATGATGAACAGCGTTCGGTCCGTGAGAAAATTCTTGACGTAGTTGAAGAGGCGGCATCCCGGCTGGGTCTCGTCGAGGTTTTGGAGCATGGCGGCAGGATCTACGTTGTCGAAGGCCTTGTGGATGTCCACCCCGACGATCGTACGTTGGTGAGTCGTGCTTTTGTAGTCGTAGAAATCCGTGCGGATGCGGCGGGCAACGTCTTGTGTGCTCATATGCTGGCGGAAGCCTACCATAGTTGGGGCAAAGTGTCCGTGGAGCTCTCGGTGCTACGCGAGCCGTTGGAGGACCATCTTCTTCTTCAGCTCACCAAGACAGGACGTCATGGATATAGGGCGGAGGTTTGTGACCATGCTGGTAGCCTTGCCTGGCTTGGATATAGTGACGACTTGGGCTTCCTTTCATCCTGAGGGTATAGAGCCTGTTTCCCACGCTTCATTGATTAAGACGAGCAATCCTTCCAGCTTTACGTCTGGCAAGTTAGGAAGCATCCCATAGGTAATAAGGTCGGGGCCCGGTGCCGTGTTCCGTTTGAGTTGGCGGAGGGCTGCTGTAAGTACTTGGGCAGAAAAAATGTTGAGTTTATGCCGCCGTCCGGTTCTTTGCCAGGTTGGACGGTGTAGCAAAGGTGTTGAATATTCTGAACGGCCAGAGGATAAAAGGTGTCCCGAATCTACTTTGACATCGTGTTTGACGGTGCATTCAGCGCCATCTGAAGCTTCTTTAACGTTTTATTTACGAGGCTTGTTTTGTCCGAGGAGAGTGCGCATGGTTTGCCAAGACCGGGGAGTGCGGAGTCGACCGTTCATGTCGTCGCAGCTCTAGAGCCAGTTGTGTGTTTGGAGATAGTCTGCGTGATCCTGGGCCGCTGCGCTGAATTCCTCGAGAGCATGACGGAGTCGCCTTTTGTCGGTGCTCCGTTTCCAGACCTTCACCGCGCGTCGACGGCGCTACCACAGGGTCAGGAGGTGCTTGTCCACGTAGAGGTGGTCTTTCCTACGGTGAATTTGTCTATAGTGTGGGCTTGGATAATTGAGAAGAATGAGCGACTCCACGTCTTGTAGCCCTGGTGAACCGTATCGGTGCGTTGCAGTGCCATGCGTGCTTTGGTCCTCGATGGTGGGGCTGGTGCGTGCGAATTGAGGCCTGGGTCGTTTGGCACGGTGCCTGGGTGTGAGTGGTACTCGGACGATGCGGTGGCTGCTGCCTGACTTTTCCGTGGTGTTATCCCAGCAGGCGCCGTGATCGCCGCGGATCCACGTGAGGTCAGGGTTGGTGTCCGTTCCTTGTGTAGTGCCCTGACGTGTAGGATATGACGCGTCGTTGAGGAAGGACATGCGGCGGGTGTTTGAGAAGGCTTCCAATTTTCGTCCCATGACTGTGGTTCGATTGTATCCCCAGCTGTGATTGGGACAATTGAAATCGCCTCAAAGAAGGGTGGTGTCTTGGCCTTCCGTGGGTTCCTGTATGCTGTAGAGGAGGGAACGTGCGGCTGCGGAGACTTCGGTGTCCAGTAGGCGCCCACTACGGCTATACGCTCTCCGCCCATTCGGGCGTGGGTGACGACGTTCTCTTGGTAGGGGGAGTTAAGGTGCGTTAAATCCTGTTGGATGGTGGCTAGGTGTGTTTTTATGTGCGTAGCCACCATGGTGATGGGGGGCGGTGCTGTGGCCGTCCCCCGGGGCCTGTTGGCAATACTCGGCTGCGTGAACTTTTCGTACCCCGGGATAGCAAAGTCGACGTGGGTCTCTTGCAGGGCTATAACGTCGGGTTGGGGGTCGGTACCGCGCATGTATTGAATGAGCGTGTTTTTCTTGAGCTCAAAGCCTCGACAATTCTGGTGCCAGATAAGAAAGCTGTTCTTGGCGTCTCGATGCTATCTGGTTGGGCGTTTATCCATAGTAGGGTGCAGGAGCAGTAGTATTTAGAATTATCTAATGAGTGGAATGACCGTTCGAAAAAGAGCAAGGATGCTTCTTGCCCATTCTGCGTCAACAGATTCCAGCAAAGTGCAGATCAGGCTAGTTGCTGTTTGGAGAAGCAGAAGCAACCCATTTACTAAAGATGTCTCCGTTGGAACGGATGGTGTGTTTTGTTCTGATGAATTGCGCTTACTTGAATCAATTGGGACAGGCTCTATCACTTTGGAAACAATGTGATGTGGTAACTGAGGTGAAGTCGGGCGTGAGTTTGTTTTGTTTTCCTTTGAACCCCTAGCGACTGCAACGTACGAAGCCCTCTTTGAAGGTTGTTTCTCGGGCGTGCTACTCAAGTTTATTTGTGGAGTAGGCAAGCGCTCTTCACCTTTTCTGGCTAGCCCGGGCCATTCGGTTTCATAAACCGCGGATCTAGCAGTGCGCAAATCGACTGCGTGTTGTCTGGCGTAATTCCTGGTTACTGTCTCTGTTTGCCGTTTTAAACATGAAGGTGATGTAGCCATGTGAGCGTCTTCGCAGTTGAAGCACTTTTTCTTGTGCAGAACAGCTGTCTGTGTTGTCACGTGTGACAGTGCAGCGGCTGCATTCTGAATTTTGCTTGCAGGCTGCTCCTCGATGTCCATAACGACCACACTTGCGGCGCTGTATTAGGCCCTCCTTGAATAAAGTCCCTGGTTACCAGACGTGGTCGATGTAAACGAAGCTTGGCAGCGCCGATCCAGAGAAAAAAATCTTTACCACTGAACTTTTGCCTAACCTTTGTAGTCGCGCAACTTTGTTTTCTGGAGACATTAATTTATCGGCGATCTGTGCATCAATGACCACGGTGTCGACGTCCCTGATTACTCCAGTGGCGTAATGTCTAGAAAGGGGTTCGTAAGCTCAGATCTTGACTCCACAGAGCTCAGTGTAGCCTAGGAGTGCTCGCGTTGTCTGGCCATTTCTTGTGTCGATGGCAATGAGAATGAGACGTCTGTTATATCTGTTCTCAAGGATATATTCCGTGCACATATTCTCCAGGGTGAGGGACACCTTTAGGCTGCTTAGCAGTATAAGTATTGTGTTCTGCTCGGCCGGTGTGAATATGACAGTAAGCCGTTCAGGCATTACTGTACCGCTGCAGATAGTTTCAGCGCTATAGGCTGGAACTTGGGCTGTTTCACCTTCGTTTTTTTCTTGACTTGGGCTTGATCCACTCTCTGCTGTCAAGATCACGAAGTTTCATGTCACTAGATGGGTTAATGATTCGCCGTCATGATGTTATGGCACATTGCTGACCTGAGTGATGTCCGCAGTCAAGTTCATGGCTGAGTCTTCTGATTAGGCGATTGAACTGCCACGGGTGGAAGAAGGCTTGATGCAGTGATAGGTGGAAGCGTGTTGATTCGAGTGCAGCGACGTTAAGCCAGCAGACATGGCAAGGTCGATTCATTTGCACTAAGGAAAAAATCATAGTGCTGCAAACCACACCTCCTAAGGCGTGGTCAACTTCCGAACGATGTCAGTTTGTACAGTTCGAACCGGCGGATTATATATAATATTCTGAAATAACAGAGCAAGCGTAGAAAAATCACAACCTTCTTCAAAGATTTCTTCAAACCCACTTCTCTTCAAAAATACGCGGACATCCTCGCTCATTACCGCCACGAACGACGACAGTTCCCGCCACCGCACCCCTACCTATCCAGAGCCGAAGCGACCGCTTTTCTTCGGCTACAAACTAACTCGTATTCCCACGGCACTCTACTGCACGCCATGTACCCCACACTATATCCTGCTGCCTGCAACTTTTGCTCCCAGCCTAGTACCCTGTACCACATGGTCTGGGAGTGTCAGCAAACCCCATCCCTTGCCCCCAACCCTCACGCAACCTACGAGCAGTGGGTGGACCAGCTGACCAGTTCCGACCAAAGGCTCTGGTTCCGACCTCTCAGCCCAGCGTAGCCTGGTGGAGAGAGCCCGGAAAGCCAGCGCGGACCAGGGCTTCCCGGACTAAAGGAGGCCCCACACCGGGCGGGCGCCCAACCATCAGCGCCTGAAGCTCTATTTATTAAAAATTTATTCCTCCTCCTCCTCCTTCTTCAAAGAACTTTGTCTTCTTCTCTCAAAGGATAAATACTAGAGTGCTGCAGCGGAAAACATCTGCTTCAGGCAGCCAACGACGTCTTTTCAAACGATATCAGTCTTTTCTTTTTCTTTTTTGTTGTGGCTCAGTGTTTACTTTGGGAACCTTTATATATATATATATATATATAAAGAGAGAGAGAGAAAGAGAGAGGGAGGGAGATATTTAAACAAACTTGGGCAGTCAGTACTTTACCTTAATAAGAAAGAAAAAAACACGACGGGGTCGTTCTTACGAAGAGCATATAATTGATGTCTTACCTCCAGTACTTGTTAAAGAAGAACCGGAACACGTTGAGCCTTCCCTTGGACTCTTTGAGCTCTTTCCAGTTGGTGTAGACGACGAGTAAACCGCTGAAATGAGGAAGCACCGTTTAGGCCATTCAGACTGCGTCACGGTTCGCTCAATAGTTCGTCATATACTGCAAAACTTTCGAAACAAAAGAAGAAAAAAATCCCGAGTGGCTACCGCCTAACATCATAGTATTTTAATAAAGATACACTCTCTGGTACGTTTATTTTACACATTATTACTTATTAAGGTACAAAAAAGTGGAAATACGCTGTATTAGAACATAACATTAGTATGCATAATACGTACAAGTTATTATAAACCAATAAGATAGAAAATTTTTGTGAGCCCCGTCTTTATTATCAACCGTATTGATAGTTGTGATCATGAGACTGATATTTTAGTTTAACATTTTTATGTTAGAACCGTCCGTACAGCAATTTAAAATAATATTAATTTTAACGTGTAAACCAAATTAAATAATTATGAAAGGTCCTAGCTTTTTTATCCCTTCTGTACGTTACACAAATATTACGCAGATGTGTGGCTCGTCGTTCTTTAAAAAACGAAGATTTACATACTTATCGCACAGAAATAAACGTCTGCAGAGCATTTTTAGCTGAATTTGAGTTGCCCCATATATATATTTTGTATCGTGTTTTCTTAATCAAAAAGCTGGAGCGATAAAAAGAAATTGATTTCAGATGTTGCTGTAATAATCACACTGCATATTTTTTTATTCAATACATCTGCAGCGTTTAGGGGTAATCAGCTGTACTGAATGTAAACAGCGCGACACTTTTCTAAATTACTTCGAAGGAGTACCGGCGGGCATCAAAATGTATGGCTTAGGTTGGTGCATTAAAGGGGCACTTCCAACCACGATACTCGTTTCAATTACATTCCTTTGGTTTGAAAAGAAAACAGAAATAACCGGCGATCGCTTGATCGTTCTGACAGTGACGCGCCATGTACCCTACCCGCCACAGTTGGCCTAAACACATCCACGCTTTTTCGAATTTTTTCCAGAAAAGTTATAGTGATAAACACGAAGTACGCACGTCAGTGTTCAGGGTGTGCACATTGCCCCAAAATAAAGAAAAAAAAACTTGGAAGATTAAGGGCAGGTTTTCAGTCGTTGTAAAAAAAAATCTTGAAAAACGACTACTTGCTTTGAAGTTTGTCGCGCTCTGCAGGGATGAATTTTTTCCAGAAAACTCCCTCACTTTCCCCACACACACACAAAAAAAAAATGTCGACATTTTTTTTTTTTATTTCTCAATAACTTAATATAAAATTACCTTTCCGGGTTTTTCTACAAAATGTTTCAAGCTGGAATTACGAACTAATACTGACTTGAAAAATGACGTGCGAAATCAATTTTTCAGCAAAACCTTTGCCCAGCAAATCTGAAGCCTTTTGCAGAGGCTATGAGCACCACCCACCTGATCAGAAAGAAAGAATCCACGGCCAGCGTGAAGTTGATGATTCCGGAGAAGAAAAAATTTTCCGAGTACATGCCGTGACCGTTGAAGAGTCCGCCTGCGCAAACACTCGTACATCACACAAAAATCAATAAAGGCATGCATCAATAACTATAACCAAGACAGAAATATAACCGCGAACGTTACACGTTATTTTAATAATAACCTGCGTGCTGCCATTTTCGTCTACTAAGCTGTGGGTCACTTTCTTACCATGCGCAATAGTTTTCTTTAGTGAAATATTGTTCGCCACGCCTACAAACACAGATCAGTTAACAGGACTTCACGGCGGTGGTGAGCGTTGAGAAGATCTAGGGACCAACTCTCACTACACATAAAAAAAGATGCTTTCGACAAGGTGGTGCCATACAGTCGCTTTCTCTTTAAACTTTCTTCGTTAGAAATGCATTGAATTTTTTCTTAGTCATCGCTCTCAATTTGTTTTCGCCAAAAACGCCGGCCATCTTTCTATCTCTCGTCTCTCATGGCGTACCTTAAGGAACGGTACTCGGCACTTTATTCTTTTTAATTTACATTATTGACCTCCTTTCCTCTTGACATTTCATCTTCAGTTCGTCTTTTGGCGAAGGACAGTGTTGTTTACCAAATAATAAGTATCCCATTGACCACCTCTCACTCGAAAATGACATTGACAAATTTGCTGCCTGGTAGCGTACTGGAAGATATCTTTGAATATTAATAGGCGCATGCACATTTGTTTTCCGAACTTCTCCTTCCACCTCGCAAGCAACATTAATACTTACACTGTTCAGACTACAAACCACAACTAATATATTAGTGCTTCTTTAACTAATAATATATTTTGGAATGTTCGTGTTGACAAAGTAATATCCTCATCTAATCGCTTTCTTGGTTATATTCGTCGTAATTTTAAAGCGGCCCTTTTCAACCCCAGAAGGCTCCTTTACGTCACTCTTGCTCGATCTGAAGAATACGCTCTATCTATCTGGCATCTCCACCAATCTGTTCACTGTAACGCAATTGAAGCCATCCAAAATCGTGCAGCTCGCTCGTTTTTTCCGATTACTCCCCTTTGTTTAGTGTCACTGCAGTGACATCTCAACTACCATATTTGCTCTAGTAATAGCCGCACTGTTCATGAAGAAAACTTGAAGGTTCACTTTTCCGCGGAGCACGCGAATTGCCAATCACTGCAATCGACAGCACGATTCCAGCGGCTTACAGGACAGAGATAACGTCTTCGCGCGAAGATACCATCTGTAAAGATTGCATTTGTATGGAGAATCGTATTCTCGATCTAGTTATTCGGTTTGTAATTTATTCGCAACGCGATGACTGCGTGTATATGTGTTTTGCGGGAAAGCAGGTGCAAGGGCCTTGTTCATAAATGGTGCGGCTATTACTCGAGTAAATACGGTAACCCTTTCTGATATTTCCTTGTGTCGTGAAATTTTTAGGGTTTGCCTCTTTCAGAAAGTGTATTACTCCCCCTTTCTAAGACAATCTCTTCTTAGCCCACCCACCCGTGTTTCTTCAAGTGTACCACGTAGACAAGATCGCCCGACCCAAGGCCAAATCCACAGCCTATCGGCATTCCCCTCTATCCGAATCCGTCGTGGACTGGAATGTCCTTCCCGGTGGCATCGTCACCACCATCGATAACACCAAGATTTGCCTCGCGCTATCAGCGCCGAGATGTTTCGGTGGCGCCCTCTGATGGTTTCCTTTCCCGACGTCACGACCAGGGTTTGCCTCGCCGCGATTGGCAGGATTTACATCTGCCTTGTCGTGATTGGGAGGATTTGCTTGGCAGTGAACCGGCGATCGGGCATGCAATATATTAATACAGGAAGGAATTGTTTTGGTCAATCGCGAACTTCAATTACAGCAACGCTCTTGGTCGCACGCGTCGCTAATAGTGCGAAACAAAACTTGGCGTTATCGATGATGGTGACGATGCCATCGGGAACGCCGTTCCAGTATGACAGATTCAAGTGGGTGTGAATGTTGATAGGCTGTGGATACGGTCTTGGATCGGGCGATCGTGCATGAGTGGTCTAGTCTTGAAGATACATGGGCGGGTGGGCTAAGGAAAGACTGTCTTAAGAAATGGAGATTAATACACTTTGTGAAGGAGCAAAGCCTATGCCCCTAGGGCTCCTGGGGGTATTTGTAAATAAATGAACAAGCGCATGTTCATATTAGTTGCAGGAACCTGTGATTTGAAGAGAGAAGCATTATATAGCCACCTACATATACACGAACACGCTGTGAACAAACAAGAGTGCGTTTGTTCACACCAGTTGTGGGCAATGCGCGCGCGCAGAAGCCAGATTCCAGTCAGAAAAAGCGTCCGCGCATGCCCAGTGCCGATAGCAGCGCCACCGCGGTAGCAAGACGTCGGAGTGCTGAGTTGATGTATAGGAGGCCCGTGAACATACGCACGCTCCGATCCAGTGCCACTAAGAGTTGGCGCATAAAGAAACTTCATACGGAAGGGCTGGACGTGTTCGATGAAGAAGTAGGTATGTCCGAAGATGATCCACGTCATGGACAGGAAGCGGATGCCGTGCAGCGCCCCGAGACTGCCCGCCTTGTCCTCCGGCATGAGCAGCTTGCGGGCGTTGGTGTGCGCCGAGAAGCACAGCAGACAGTCCAGCAGGACCCCTGCGCCACCGGAGGTGTGAGACGGCGTGCGCGTCGCCATCCCCCCAAAAACGACAACAAGGGGGTGTGCTTATGTTTGTTAGTACACTTATGGCCGTTGTTACACTGCTCATACATCAAGCAAAAGACGCTCTGCAGACACTGCTTGAAGTCTGTTCCTTCCTCGTGTGACGGCCCCGTCACAATGGTCATAAAACCACTGCTGGCAGACAAGTTCGAAGCATAAATAGGTATAAAAAAAAACATAGTTCGCGCATGCTTGAGATATGTCCGTACATGATTCTGTCACCATGTCCGCAGCGAACGCCGTTTCTTTTGGACGGCTTATATGAGTAGCATGACTGCGGCATTATAGAATGCTCACTTGCCAGCGACTCCAGGTGGCGCTGTCTTTCAACGTATGTCATTTTAAAAAGCAAAAAAAAAAAAGATACTATCGACCATACGGGCGCAGCTGTTCCGGCTGGTTTGGTATATTAAGCAAATCAAGGTTGTTTTACTGCGCATGTATGTAAGAGAAATTTGAGATTTTTGTTCGCAAGTGATATGGTGTTTCGCGAAGTCTAAACATTTTTAGCGTCTTTCGGATACACGCATACTTGTGGCGTCTGTCCCCTCAATCCGCTTTATTTGCGTGTCTTTAGAAAATTAGTAGGAAGTTACTGCCTTAGTGAGCGAGTAGTTAAAACATCCTCACGAAAATAGTAGTTTATTCTTATTTTCTTTAGCGTCAATATGCCGGACCGTAAGAGAATCGTAAACAAAAAGTCCGTACATTGGAACCTCTGTGGTGGTCGCCCTTCATAGGTGTTCCCTCGAAGTTTGCGAAGCGACAACTGGATCGCTTGAAATCGCTGCTACACTACTGAGAAAAGTATGTAAAGTTCACTCTAGACACTTATGGGAATGAATGTCGAGTTGTTTATTGCAAAACAAAATCCTCATCAACAGTTGGATAAACGTAGTTACACTGGTGGAGTTTAGTATGTGCTGAAGAAAACTTTTCATCTACAGGGTGTCTAAAAATAACGTAAAAGTTTTTGTTTTGTTTTTCACTGCATATTAAACTACGCTTCGCCGAACGCTCATTCTCCGCCCCAAATGTAGCGCCAGTGCTTCGAAGTAGATGCCACCACACCTATGTATTTTATTTTCAAGTGCATTTTATTGTGTATATCTCCTGCCTTGGCTGCATATTAGCGGCCGGCAGTATCAATAAATAAAAAAAAAAGTTCCAGAAGTAACCGTTTTCTTCTTCACAAATTATAAGGGCTGTTCTGGAAATGTCAATGGGAAAATGGTGGCCGATGGGACTCTCGAATACGTGAGCTGAATAGGCGCCAGTTACCTCAAATGGGCTCTAGTAAAATGCAGTTCCAGGGAAATATCATAGACGGCACCAGCGAACCAGTGTGTTATCTCGCCGTAAGAAATCACAAGAGCTTGGTCGTAAGCAAACGCCGGTGCGTGAATGAGCTTAAAAATGTGCTCATGGCGTGATCTGCGAGTATTGCTCGTTGTTAGTTTGCCCAGTAAGAACCTGAGGGTCACTAGAGGATACGTGTGCGTCCAGAGGTCGATTGTTGTACATCCAAACAACCCTGCAGTAGTTTTTAGAAACAAAGTCCAGTGACCTTTACCTACCACGCTCGGATGAGGAGGGAACCTTTTCTTGAACTTGGCGCTCCTTCAGGAAAACGTCAACGGAGCTTCCTATTACTGTCAGCGACAGGAAGACGAGCAGAAGAACTCTGGATGTATAAGGAACATACGAAAAGATGAAACTAATTATAGTCAATATTTTCGAACTACACGCTTTTTTCTTTTCTTTTTTTTCCATTTACGGAAGGCACATACGTTCAGAGATTCCTGAAGTAAAAAGACCAGGTCAAAATTTTATTTCAAAATATATTTGCTTTATTTTAGCGCAGCGATAACTATACGCTGTTATGTTCAAGTTCTTGGGAAAAACTAAACTGGCCAAGAACACACTTAAAACTGAAGCGAGGGTTTTAATGAATGCGTCGTTCTTGGCCATTGCGTAAATTTCGTTACGAGTAACAACGAGTCCAACGCACTGCCACCGTGCGCGTACTGTGAACTATTTGTATTACTAGCCGTTTATCTGAACAACGAGGCTTCCATATCACCGGTACCTCCCCTCAATGATTTGCTGGAACTTTCTCGGTGTGGGTACGCTGAACTTCTGACAAATATGTATAGCCAGCCCAGGGATCCTGGGTTCGAGCCCCACCCCTGCCCGTTTCGATCTGGATGAGCATCGTACCGGCGTGCGGTCGTATATCACTACTGCGTGATGCACGTTAAAGACCCCAGGCTAGCGGCTGTACCGCACTGGCTAAATTGCTCATCTACAGCTGGGAGACTCGTCGCCCCTGTGAGGCAGACCAAGTTCTAGGCTGTATAAACACACACACAACCCCCAATTTTTTTTATATGTATAGCCACCAAATATGCGAATGCAGTTACCCATTCCAGAGAGGCTTCGTAGCATTGTCAGGCGAAACAGACAGAGTGGAATTAATTGCGACGAGAAATCAAGGATAAAACTTTTATGGGATGCCTATTATAGTTTTTAGAAGGTAATATTCTCCTACATTTCTTTATTTTATAAAAAATGACGCCTTAAATAAAAAAGAACGAAATTAATGATGCATTTACCTTACGTGCTTTACCTAATAAATAATGACGAACATTAAACCCACATAAGCCAGAAACTTCACGTTTTATTAATAATTTAATTTTCTTGATTTTTTTTTTGTTTTTTTTCTTTGTTTAAAGAGTTTGAGCGCGGCCAACGCTATACGAACAAAAAAAGAACAGCTTCTTTCCAAAACCGCACTGCGGTTTTCATTGCTGTTATTATTGGTTTTGGCTAAAATCTGAGCTCTGAAATTCACGTCAAAATATACATATCCAGCACTCAATGAAAGTTTCACAACGTACGCGGATCGCGAGCGAGATAGCGGCCGTAGCAGTTCTGTTGGTGCTAAGGACGAGCTATAGGCGAGCTGACGCCGAGTTTTCACGCTGATTTTTCAACATGTAAATCCCGCACAATCAAGGTTGTCAGTCTTATCAGCATGTAAGTGCGAACTATATGTGTCCGATGAATACCCCCTATACCAGCATGGCGGCGGTGTCTCAACGCCGTAGGCGGATCTGGTATTGGAAGCCCCCTGGTCGCAAAAAGCAAACACGTGAACTGCAGAAAATCCCGATACTGTCTTCAGTCCGCTAAACAAAGAGTATATGTCTCCAGTCAGCAACAGGCGTTAACGTACATGACCGTGATCTGGATGGGTGTCAGCTTCTTGCCGCCGTCTCGCTGGAGGCACTCGGTCACCTCGGCCTTCATGTCGATCTGCTTGACGGCTGACAAACAAAAAATAACACCCAATGATCCCATTCGCGTTGACACCTGGAGAAACACAAAGAGTGACCCGGCCAAAGGGTTTGACAGTCACGCACGTGATGGCGTGGTCCTGTTCGTTAACAGGTGTGATGCAAATTTTAAAAGAAACGTAAATGGGGCCTTCGAGTGGAAGCTACCTTCTGCCAGGAGGCTTGGCTCCATGGCGAAGTGTCCTTTGCCACTCTGAGGCTTCCAAGAGGTTTCTTTTCACGCTCCATTGAGGTTCGATTTCGTGCAGCGGCAGCAGCTCCCGAACCTAAAAGGCAACGGTCGGAGCTAAGCGGTGTTCTGTATATCAGCTAGTCTGAACGCCGCGGTTTCCCCTGTCCGCGCGATAGAGTGAACACACAGCCCCGTAGGAAACAGTGGGTAAAAAAAAAAAAACGCAAATGCCCTGGCTATGAATTCTGGAGAAGCTCTTACACACTTTTTGCTGTTTTAGTGCGCGATGTCGTTATATCGTGTTATCGTCATTTGACCTTCATAAGCTACCCTTTGGGCAACATATTACATATCAGTCATATAAATCATACACTGCCGCACATTCCAAGTTTCCGTGGATTTCACTTGGTAAGCAGCAGTAGCTTACGGATTATGCGACGCAATCCGAAGGGAAACCCACATTTATGCACTAAATCCGGTGTACTCCTTGCGTAGCATTATGGCAGAAGTTTCGGAAACGAGCGAAAATGGTTTTAACCTGCCTTTCTATTTTATACAATCTAGCCAGTGTTGGCGGTAACGCGTTACAAGTAATGGCGTTACCGGTAACACGTTACTTTTTCTCATAACGTTGTAACGCTGTCGTTATATTTTCAAAATTGTGACGGGTGCCGTACTTACGTTACATATTTCGAGTAACATGAAACGTAGTTACGTTACTCGTTACATGTTCCCTTCCCAAAGCTTCAAAAACTCACACTTAATTTTTTTTTTTTTCACGTTTCTAGGCCCCAAGCAAATTATATTTTTGAGTTCTTTTACAGTTTTTGTTTAGTATTTAGATTGAAGCGTAAAAAATATAAGTAATTATGTTCAGTCTCCGGATGGACATAATGTTTCTCGAAATACGCCTTATGCATACCTGTAACATTAGAAGAGTAAAACATGCTAATTCATAATTCAAAAAAGTAACGCAAAGGTAAAGTGCGTTACTTTTTAACGGTAACGCTTTCCTTTTATTTTCAGGTAACGTAGATCGTAACGCGTTTCTTTTCTTTGCTAGTAACGAGTGCCGTAATTCGCAACTTTTTTTTTTGGTAACGCCTACGACATTAGTTCTTGCATAAAGTTAACAAAGCTCAATTTCTGATTTTTTTTTTTTGTAATCAAATATTAGATTGGTATCAAATAAAATAGCATTCGTGTACGCCCCAACTCTGAATCGCGTCGACAATTTTTTGCACGTGCTCACTGTACTTGACGATCTTCTCGATGTCCTCCCTGGAGCACGTGGAGGGCACGCAGAGGCCGATCCGGAACACCACGTGGTTGCCGGGGATACGAAGCGCATTCTTCAGCATCTGGAAGCAGAGGACCAAGAACTTAGCCATTTCGAGCCATTTCGCATACGTCTCGCGATAAAAATCACCAAAAGCGAAAAACTCGGAATACCAATCACTTCTCATCAGTGGCGTAGACTTTCCGTTTTCCCGGGGGGGGGGGGGGGGGGGGAGTGCTGCGCGTTACTTTTTCGCCAGAACTGGAGATTGAAGCTAACGAAAGCACGCTGGGATTCCATTTCCCATGTATTTTTTCAATAAAGGCAACGTGGGTGTGTGTTATTTTGTTTACATGCCACTACTATAGAAGCTCATTACATGGCACGTAAACAGCATCTCGTTAACGATCATGGCCCGGGCCCGAGGGGGAGTGGGGGGAGGGGCTCTGCCTTCTCGGACCTCACCAGGGTGGGCACGAGCCCCGATGGACCCCGAAGTCTACGCCGATGCTCGTCAGGACTAGAACCAAGAATAAGAATTAGCGGTGTCATATGCTCCATGGTCATGTGGCCTCAGTGGCAGAAATGGTGAATGCCTTTTTGTCCTCTGAGATGTGTGTCCAAGGCGCTTGCTTATGAGAGCTTTGTTTTTCTTTGTTTTTACTTTTCGTTTAGTCTTGGCGGGATTTGGCGTAAAAGGTCGTCGTTTAATATATTTCTACGAAGATCTCATTATTTTGTTTAAAACTTGATTTAAAACGTACCCAAGCGAAGCGAAGAACGGAGCACAAAAGCTTGCAGCCCGTTTCCGTCATCCCTGACAACATTCTTATGCGCAGGCCACTTAACGGTAACCACGTGGTCAAAGAACCACGTCACGTGACTACTATCACGCTGATGGCGCACTCTCTGTGTCGTTTTTCTGCATCAGTCTTCATTCGTACATAGCCTCCCCTTCAATGCACTCGAAGTTGTGACAAGGGGAGGCGTTATAGCAGCGGCGTAGACTTTCCATTTTCCCGGGGGGGGGGGGGGGGGGGGGGGGGGGGGGGGGCAGGCTGAGAAGTTTTCCGGGGGGCGGGTGCTTTTCTGCGCAACTTTTTTTTTTTACACCGGCAATTATCAGTAGTTTATTTTAGGGGGTACATTTTACAGCATATGTATATCGCCATGTGTCCGTCGCTGTGTGTTAATTCACGTGCGAGCGTAGCCGTGTGTTCATCGCAGGTACCACGGTGCACGCGCCGGCGAGCACAAATCTGAAATCTTTAGTTTTTTGCTAAACGGACTTTTGGAACAGCTCCGGATGGAGTAGGCCTTCCGGTTGCTTCGTTTTTCTTTTTTTTTTGGTGGGACATTGCAAGATGGCGGCTGCTAAGGAAGCAGACCAAGCGGACGTAGAAGTGTTCGATGCCTCGTTACCTTCTCGCCATAACTGGAAATTGAAGCTAACGAAAGTACGCTGGGATTCCATTTCCCATGTGTTTTGCCAATAAAGGCAACGTGGGCGTTATATTGTCTACATGCCACTACTACAAGCTTGTTACATGACACGTGAACAGCGTTTCGGTATGCTCGGTAAGGGTCAAGGCTCGGAGGCGGGAAGGGGGGAGGGGGGCACGAGCCCTGATGCTTTCCTGTAATCTACGCCTATGCGTTATAGTATATGTCCGTAGTCCCGAGTGCCGCCATTTTGCTGCGCGATGTGCGACCGATCTTCGAGTCCAAATCATATCCTTGGTTACTAGGCTGGTGATCCCTCAGTGAGGTGTCCCACTCGCGATGGCCAAGTGCACGTTTTGAAGTGCGGAGGCTCGCGAGTGTGAAACAGAGCTCACGGCTTTCTTGGGCAGATAGGAGGCGAGCTCCCGGTGCGCCTCGGAGTCGTTGTGGAAGAGGTCGTTGAGGGCCCACTTGGGCGCCACCTGGGCCGTGCAATACTGGCCCCGGAAGAAGAGCCGCTCCGGGAGGGTCTCGTCCAGAACCACGGTGTCCAGGCACTCATCGAAGGCCCCTAAGAAGGCCAGGGTTCCCTCCAGCAGGCCGTCCACGGGCTTGCCGGAAGAGTCCACCACTGCACCGATGAAGACACAAACGCCCTGAAAGTCAGTAACGTCACTGAAACGATGAGGCACTATCGCGCATCACTGAAGCCTCACGAACTATAGCAATCACGAGTTATACAAACCTCGAGATTTTGAACAAGCTCTTACCCAGAGTAAAGTTCCTTGATTAAAGATGCACTTCGTGCTTCCTACAAGTGACGTCATTCTTTGAAGCGTCGATTACTGACGGGCATGTTTTAGGAAGCAAATGCCAGGGCACAGCAGCAGAATGAATATACTCCATTCTGTTTCAGCGGAATGGGCTTAGTCATGCGTGTAGGTGGTCGTTACTAGTAGAAGAAAGTATAAAGGGACTTTAATCTAGATTAGAGCCAGAATGTGAAACTTTAGGTATCAGTCTCTGAACTCTGACTAGACGAGATATGATGCAGCTTCTGGGTATCGAAAATATTACGAAGAACCAGATGCAATGTTACAGCTCCTATTGTACTGTATTCTTTCCTTGCGTCTGCTTTCCTTCAATGCACGCGTCGCGGGTATACCAGGTAAAGTGCTCTCCTCGCCTTGGCTTTGTAAGCGGGTGCGCCACGTCGTGTGGAGCTTGGAACTTGCGCTCCGCGTGCTGCTTAGAAAATGCTGTGCCATTGGCCTTCCTAGTTTCAACGCAAAAGTGCTCGGAACAAAACAGATGTCTATTTTGTTCAGAACGCTTTTGTTCACGCACCACACTGCCCCATAGTACGTGAACGCGAAGCCGATTACCAACGATTTCGCCGTGACGTGTCGCAGCTATCGCTGTGACTGCTGTACTCTGAATCAACGCAAAACTGCTCAATTATTTTTTTTCTTTCAGTCGCCTCGTGTAGACGGCGGAGACGCTGTCGTCAGAGGGTGCTCGGGCGCGCGCCAAGAGGACTTCATCTGGTTGATCGCGTCGCAGCGTTCGCCGTGATGTGTGTCCTCACCTTCATGCGGAATAAGTAATTTTAATTCGAAGATTTTTTAAGGGGGTGGCAGTTAGATTAGTGATATCTTCATCCATGCATTTAGCAACCTCGGCGGACATTAAACAAGGAGGTAATCGTCATGGTAAGCTGTCTATTTGAGTAAACCTTTGAGTAAACACCAATAGTTAACTATTTAATGATTGTTTTTGGGGTCATATGAGAATTGCTGTATACGACGGCAATTGCTGTTAATGACCAGACCAATTTAAATAATTTGTGAAAGGGTAATGGTTATTTTAGATATTAATCAATTAATATTTCACATTTTTTCGCCTGATTTATGAACTGCGCTTAAAAAGAGCGTCGCAAGCCCTGCCAACAATGACGCTTGGAAGAGTGACGCCTTTTCCTTCAATCCTATCGTCACAATCTCGACACCGTGTCCTTGGTGGGCGCGCCGGCGACACAAGCGACCAAGTGACCCAAACGACTTTGTCACTCTTCCACGTATAATTGTCGGCAGCGCTAGATGCGCTCTTTATGCGCAATTTTTAAGAAGGACAAAAAATTAGGAAATGTGTTGGTTAATATCCAAAAACAAAAAAATGCATTTTGGCAAAAACTTTAAATTGGTCTAGCCTCTAATAGTAGTCGCCGCGTATACTGCAATTTTAACATGACGTTTAAAACCAAAAATTAGAAACTTAATTACGAATTTTAGTTCATCAGCCAGTTTACTATACGACGATTATCCCCTCATCTAATGTCTGCCGAGTCTGTATATTCTCGCGAATTAAGGCGACGAGAAGGTGAACAGTGAACTGAAAAATGAAGGTTTAATGGGCGAACTTGTGCCAACCAAAAATAAGTAAAGAAAGAGCGTCGAGGTAGCAGAAAAGCAGGCGGCAATTCGGCGGCGAATCCCGAGAGCACGAGTGACGAGCGAGACTGACCCGACAAGGTTGCGAGTAGCTGCTTATCTACCGCGCGTCACCAGAGAGTTTTAGTAGATCGTTCCGATACCTCCGATAGCCCCGATAACGATACTATGCATGCGCAAGGGAGGCGGTGGCGGAGTATCGGGTATCGTTATCGGAGTCACGGGAACGATCTACTAAAACTCTCAGTATCTCGAAAGTTCGGCAAAGAAGGCTCGAGCGTGGCGCGCTCAGGGCGAGGATGAACTGGCACTTTCGAGATTAACAAAGCAGAGGGAAAGTTACGTCTGGTGCGAGAATGAACGGGAATCTTTTAGAAGACCGTGACCAAGCGTTCCTTTCTCGGCTCTGCGGGCAGCAATATGTACTGTACATGGTAAAGATGGCACTCGTCAAACCGCGCCATGGCCCCCCCCCTCTCCCTTTTTTTTTTCTTTTTACAGCGGAGCTGCTAAGGGCTAGTTTCCCAAGGATCGTGTCCAGCGCAAAGAAATGTCGACACAAAACTCTGGTTGCCGCCATCGCTCATAGATGGCAGTAGCTGTCCAGAGTGTTGTGTTTGCCGGTTGTCCGCTTGCCGCCGTCGCTCAAAGATATCGCAACCTTTCAAACTTTTTCACTTTGGCTTGCAGACTTGCGGCCGGCCATTATTTCATTCCCACCATAGTACAGCTTGGCTGGTCTTCCATCTTCACCAAAGTGGAAAGGCTAAAAGCTTTTTTTATTTAGTTTGTTCTAATTAAAGGTAAACACCGTATATCCTACACTGTGGTCCGCACGCAGCTGACACTACGAGCTGGTGGGACCAATCATACAGCGTCAAAAGCGCACCAACATGGTGTCCGTCATGCTTCTGTAGTTCGTGATCTGTCATCGCTAAACCAACCAGGCACAAGGAGGCGGGCACAATGGCTTGCGCTCTTGGCGTTCTTTCATTAGTCCCATCAGCTGGTAGCGTCGGCCGTGTCCGAACGTAAGCTGAACGAAGTGCAGGCTTTATGGCGCATTAACATCCATAGGTCGCCCTCCGTAGATCGCTCTTGTTCCTTCAATGTGTGCTCAGTGGAAACGTAAATGAAAGAGTTGTTTTTTTTTTCCTTAAAATGGTACGTTCACTTTTAGAAAAGTAACGCGTTCCATTACTCTTGACTCGTTTAATAGGTACTGAAGTTCTCAACTCGAACGTGTTAAGGCTTGTTCTCACAAACGGATCTGCTACCGTTTTTGTTTTTTTATGTAATGTTTTTTCATGATGGCCATTTGTTTTGAGGAAAAATGACGCAGTACCGTTACTCCTTTACTCGTTTGAAAAGTACCGAAGTTTTCCTCGAACGCGTTAAAGGTGTACGGAAACAAAATGACGTGACTGCGAGCTCTCTAAAATCTCGCTTCAAAGTGTGCCAGCGAGAAGCGCAATGCGTATCACGCTCGTGACGTCAAGAGTTACTGCTTCGCCAGGGGTAGTGGCGAGCGTTGCCGCTTGGTGGCGTCAACGCGTGACCATCTCGCCTAGTAGTAATATCCGAGGACTGTACGTCCTATGGCCTACACGTAGCTTGTCCGGAACGTCATTTGCGGCCATGTCGCTATTTTTAGGGTGCATCAATGCCCTTCTGTTTAGGGTGATGCCACCGTTTGTAGGTAGGTAGGTAGGTAGAAAACGTTTATTGGAAACCAAGAACTACGAATAGAGAGATTATCCGCGCCGCGGTGATCCTCGGATCTGGCAGCCTCGTTCTTGCGTGATTATGGGTGATGAGGGATGACTGTGCGGTGGGTCATGAAGGGTGTTTTCATATGGAGTCCCCAAGATCTGACTTGGCTACGAAGTCCAGAAGCGACTGGAGGATCCTCGTCCGGCGTTGGGCTTCGCCCTGCGGGTGCGTCCAATCCACGAGTCTCTTGGGTCTTTCTTCCTCGGGTAGCGTCTTGATGGCTTCCACTCTGCACAAGGCTAGAGCTTGGCATTCCCATAGGAGATGGTCGAGCCTGGGAATGGCTTCTGGATCCTTGCATCTCTGACATCGCGGGTCCAGAGGGACCGCGTACGGCTGAGTCCGTCGCAATTGCGAGAGGTTGATGTGGTACTTGAGCCTTGGCGTGACCGCGCCTCCGGTACGGATGCGCCGAAGTTGAACCGTTTCCGTTCGCTTGAAGGTTTTCGCCGGAAGCGGGTAGTCTTCGGGCTGCCACTTTTCCGCTAGCTGAATCTTTCGCATCTTGCGACATTTACGCAGCTCTTCGACGGGGTCGTAGCATGCCGTATTTTCTGGCTGTTCGACTGACTCTTCGCAGTTGGACGCCTGTTGGGATGGCAGCTGAGGAATTCTTCTCATCCCGCACTGTGCCGCTGCGTGAGCCATGTCGTTTCCTGAGATCTCCTGGTGTCCCGGGACCCATCGTACACTGATTCTTGTGCCGTGCTCCCGGTATAGGCTGAGCGCCGTGTCGAAGAAGGCGTGTACCGTCGGGCTTGCAGTTGCCTTGAGCTTGTACATGTTTCGTACCGCCTCCTGGGAGTCCGTATAGATAATGAGGTTTCTCGTCTTGCCGGGGAGGTGCCCGTATACTCCCAACGTGAACAGAAGAGCCGCTTCTTCTACCGTGTCTGATGTGACCTCCGTGCCCAGTCCGCAGCTAGTGGCAATTTCAAAGGGAGTTGCCCCCTCGCCTCTGTAGAAGACTGCTCCTGCGGCATACTCCTTCCCTTTTGTTGCTCCATCGACGTACACCACTGTGTTGTGCTGGCTTGCCAACAGCTCCTTGACCTCCTTCTTGTGCTGTTGGGCGTACCTTTTCCTGCGGGCTTTGTGTCGCTCCGGGTCCATATTTCTTGGAAGGGGCTTCGCACCTTGCGTGACGCTAATCACATCCCACGGTGCCTTGCTTGGGGGGAGGGGGTCTAGGGTCTCCGGTAGCTTGATGCCTATGTAGCTTGCCACTGCTCGGCCTTCCTCTGTGTGATGCACACCCGCCGTGTGCGTCACTGTCTGCTGCACCAGTAGGTCCTCAATTTCTGGCAAAAAGATGAGTTGCCTCATCCTCTCCGTTTTTGTACTTCTTGGTAGCCCCAAGATGGCTCTTCGTGCGTCATTGAGCATAGCTCGGAACTGGTTCTTGTGA